GCTGCACTGCTGCTTAACGGTTTTGTGTTGTGCATACTGTGGAAAGGACGACCGGCAGCCTTCGACGTCTACATCATCGCACTCCTCGGTAGCAACATCATCTTCACGGCGCTCCACCCGCGCATCCTGCTGGGCTTATGGTACAGCCTGCGCCAAAACACTGCGCGTCCCAACTGCACTTTTGCAATCTATGTAGCACGAACCGGTACCCCGATCATCCTGCACATCCATCTGCTCATTGTGGTCAACCGTGCTTGGGCCATTCTATGGCCGGTCTCCTACCGGGAACGTCATACGACGCGGGTCGCATGGCTGCTGTGCTTGATGATTGCGGTGTATGTGCACATTCTATTCGTGCCATTGGTTATCCTCGATGACCTTTATCACCGTCTACCGCTGCAGAGCGGGTGCTGGTTGAATCCCTCCGTACGGCCGATTTACGGCGAAGTCGCCCGGATCATCGCGTTTGACCTGCCGAAAATCTTGGTCCCCCTGTCGTATCTGTTCGTGGTGTGGAAGCTGTTGCGCCGGAGACGAGTGGTGGAGGATTCTGCGGACTCAAATCATCTTTCGTTAACTCAACGTACCGGACACCCCGGTCCGGTTTCGGCACATTCACACCGCGGCAGAACGCGACCTTTCCTCATCGTCAGTTTATTTGCCCTATCCTCCCTGGTATGTTGGTTTCCGGGCTTGATTTTCCACAACATCGAGATGGTGATGACCATCCCAATAGCCCAGAGGAGAATTTTTGGTCCGTGGGTGACGCTGTTATTTTCGCTGCAAGTTTTACTAGATCCGCTGTATGTACTGGCCAGCCTGAGGAAACTGCCAGATTATATTGTGTCGCAGTGGAATCGAGTGCGCGTCAGCTGCGGAAAATAGACCATGATTAGCTTCCTCGTTTCACATCTGTTTAATTCTACGCCTCCTCCGACTGACCATTGAACGAACGTGTGTACAGATGTCAAACTTGCTCTAAAAAATTTCCTAACGGTAGCCGATTTCTTTAACCTGAGTTCACCTTGGATACTCAGGAAAAACGTGTGACATGCATCGTTTTCCATACTAAACATGCATGTTTTGTAAGGGCAACAGAAAATAATCCAGACCGGAAAAAAAGAGAAAGCGTCCCCGTAATCACATGAAGGTCATCTCGTAACAAGCGCTGCCACATAATTATTATCACTATTGACATATTCTGGTTTCTTAAGGGAAGTGGGCCGGTAAATGGTACCAAATTCGTGTGCATGCACGAAAACTTTAACTTTCGCGCACTCCCAAATACAGTTTTGTTTCGGTTTATGACATTCTGTAGCCAGAAGAGTTGTATACACTGGCGCGAAAACCGTTTGTGCGCGCAACATCCGGTTCGGGAGTTATGGCTGTTAGAAAATTCCAAAAAGTTTAAATGCATTCAGGTGTACCAAAAGTCTGATTATGGAGCGATCTCGAATTTTGCATATAAATGCATACAACCACGAAGAACGTTTGTACACCGATCCACTGTTCGAGCATGTTTTTCAAATTTTAAAATGAATTTCAAAAATTTTTAAATTCATTTTAAAATCTGAAAACAATCGTGGAAGTCTGGATCGGTGTAAAAACAATCTTCATGGCCATGTGCATTTACATGCAAAATTTGAGAGAGATCGGTCCATAATCAGACTTTTGGTACACCTGAATGCATTTAAACTTTTGGATTTGCGAACACTTGTGTATTTGAATCTTCTGGGTACGGAACGTGATAAACCGAAACAAAAATGTGTTTGGGAGTGCGCGATAGTGAAAGTTCTCGTGCAAGTACACGAATTTGGTACCATGCACCGGCCCACTTCCCTTAATGCGTTTTAAAAACCCTTTGGATAAAAAATTATAGATACATTATTGCTCGCTGTTTTGGAGTTTTAATGCAGCAAATGGTAGGATGGGAATATCTGCAGTACAGTATCTGTACGTACAGGTACAAAGCCATTCTCATTTGCGCCTTATGGAAGAAGGGTTTAATTTAGTACACATATCATAACGTAAACGTGGTGTTTCGTTGGTTTGAAAACACATTCTTCTGTGGTAGTCTATCACCTCGTGCAGGGTTGTCCTGGTTATGGCAGACAGTAAACTGATAAAAACACGAAGCTAGGCAGTTGTTCCTTAAGTCAGGATGTCAAAGTTCACACGTTCATTGCAACAAGTCATATCTCGTTGATTCTTATGCTAGACTGCTACTGCAGTTCCAATAATTGTCGTCACAACAGCTTTGTTGGTGTCCTCAGTTCATAATCGAAACCGCATGCCAAGCTGCAAACAAGAACAGGCCTATTACGAGTAAATTGTTTTTCAGGAAGGCTACAGGTACAGTACAACACGTGCGAATACAATTAGTATCTCCAAACGGCTGTTCGCAGGTAGATCCCCTGCGCTGTAGCAAAAGCCGCGATTATTGTCTTGCCTGCACGGAATGGAGATGAACATTGGATAGCTGATACTTTCCGGAAGTAGGTTGTCCAATCGTTTTTATCAGTAACAACAGTCGTTTCCTGCGGGATCTACGCTTTGCGGAAGTATATGTCTTGCCAGCGGGATATGGAAAAAGCAGGAACGAAAACAAACTGGTACGATAAACTTTTCGCGACATACCACTCGAGTTAATTAATATTAGATCTTGCATTTATTCCAATTTCAATATTTATCAAACATGTCGCGCCTGGCGCTTTGTAGTGGATCGTGCTTAATACGGGGGATTTTTCGACTGGCTGTCTATACTCGTACACATACTTACAGTACCAGATAACCCGATGTACATAATTTAAATCGAGTGGTATTTCGCGAAACTTTATCGTACAGTTTGCTTCCGTTCCTCCTTTTCATAATTCGCTGCCGGGACTTAAACTTCCGCAAGGTCAAGATCTTGCAGGATGCTGTTCTTGCTATTGACTAGAAATGATACGCGCTTCCGTGTCAGCTGTTCAGGATACAGCGTCGATCCCAGATGCTCCATATTCTTTGCCAAACTGCCATGCAGCGAATGCTGTTTGTATAAAAAACACAGCGTTACACGTTCAGATGCAGCTTTAGTTGGCTTGAAATCTCGGCTTCAGTCGTCCGATGCGCTCGCCATGGTGTCAGCAAATTCATATCTTGAACGCTACGGCAAACGGAACACTGCGATTCCAGCAGTCAACCAATACAACCTCCGTGGAAGGTCCATCCCACGATGCGATAGCTACCATTGTCGCTGTAGTGCTGCTGAACGGTTTTGTGTTGTGCCTACTGTTGAAAGGACGACCCACACCATTCGACATCTACATGATCGTTCTCCTCGCCAGCAACGTCCAGAACAGCCAACAGATCGTATGCGAAGGCGATGGACAACAGTCAAAAAGCGGTGATAAAATTCATTTTGAAAACGTAGTGAGGTCAAGCCGCGAGGTCAAGCCGCGAGGTAGTGAGGTCAAGCCGCAGTGGCAGTAGCTGCACCCTAAATATAATCGCAAATACTGTATGTAGTGCGCATAAGTGAAAACAATTTACATCTTATTACAATGAACAGTATATCTGTACTGATTCCCAGCTTCGCACAACAAGAATTATTGGCATCACATTAATTGTCTTTAACGTTGGTATGATGTTATACTGCAGCATCAAAAACGTAACACTTCACCATACATTAATTGTACAGGTACATTTAATGTATGTATGTATGTATTATTCCAATTTGAGCAAGTTAGAAAAGCAGTCGTTCTTGCTTTGCAACCAACCTCCCAAAGTTTTAGAATAGGTTGCAATTCCCGATCCGAAATGACAGAAAATATAATAATGACCGTAATTACAGTTCAAGGAATATCTGTATTTCGATAATTGACAATAAATAATTATTTTTGCTGTAATAAATTTCGCACTTGTAAAATACGCTTTGAAGAGCAAAATTTGTTAGAAGTACCATTGGTCCAATGCGATTTGGCCTCAATATGCGTATCCCGTGAAACACTTTCCGTCTTTTATTTTTTGGAATACTTTATTTCCGTTGGGGACAAAAGTCCCCACCGGACATCCCTGTTCTTCCTTGTACCAATTAATGGATGAGTGCAATTGTATTCAACATACTTCCTCATTACGGCGAGTTGTACTTTGAGAAAGCCACGATGCTGTGTCAAATCCGTCCACGCACTACCTTAAACAGCACTTTCATAAAAATCATTTTTACAGTTAAGTACGTAATTTCTTTCCACACATTATATTACAATGTCAATTTTTTATTGCAGACCAAATGTTGTACGCAGTTTTGACCCGTACATACCTTATTTTATAACGGTAGACATTAAAATATTAAGATTATGTGTCTTCAAGCTCTAAAGGTCGAAGCGCTTGAAATGTCGAAGTAATAGTGGTTCGATAACTTCATAGATAATCATAGATAGATAATCAATTCATAGATAATCAATTCATAGGCCTTTCATAGATGATCAATTCCAGTGGTATGACGCGAAAAGCTCGACATACCCATATGCGTTTCCGTTCCCGTTTTCCGTTCCCCTTATTTTGTTGCCACATGATTTACTTCCGCAAGGTCTAGATCTGGCAGGAAGCTGCTGCTGCTTACTGTACTAGAAATTATTGAGCAAAACACTTCCGCATACTGTCTGTTATTCAATGTGCACGCCGATCCCCGATTTTTGCATCGTCTGCTATTGCCAACCGTACCGGTCACCGCCAAACTGTCAACTAGGGCAAGTCGATTAAATTGCTTTGCAGGAAGTCCGTCAGGTGCAATGCAACACGTGCGAAAACAAGTGTTTTCCTCGCTTTTCGAACGACTAAGCGCAGCGGACGCGGGAGCCGCTTAAATCGGCAGCTCTTCTCTCTTCAATGCCAAATGCACTTTAGACAATTACGGTCATAGACTGCAGGTTACATAACCGACCTTTCTAGCCTCATTTCTCGAAAAAAAAACAAGAACTAGACAGGGAACTGTATCACAGATAAAATATGTTCTTGTCTTTTTGTTTTTCCAACGAGGTTCATCGAGTCAGCAGTTAAATAGTTCGTTATCTGGACACGGTCAGTGCAGTGTCCCATGACACTGCTTTTTTATTTTTTTACAAGTTCAAGAGGGTTGACCAATCCATACAACGCCAAATAAAAATACCGTGAAACTTAGTTTAGCTTATGCAACATGTCGCGCTCGGTGCGGACAGATTGGATCGTGTTGATTACGGGAGGAGTTGTTGATCGGTTGAAAGCATGGGGAATGAGTGAGTAATACTGATCTGATAAGTCAATCAGTGTATCCAATCTGCAACGCATATGATCACTACTTAGGTTAAGCAGGCCGTGAGTAACTGAAAAGTTGGGCTTGACAAAGAGCAAAATTCTCTTGAAACTATCACAATATCGTTCCCATTCAAAAAAGGTGTTCTGTGGAGTGACATTAACTTCGTATCAAGTACTTACGCTTCTTCGACTTTGTCCAGAATTTCGCGTCCTCGTACAATCTGATTAGCGCAGATTGCGCCTAGCGGTAAATTTGTGGCATCCAGATTCAGATTTTGCAACGCTTTGTCCAGATGCTAACAAAAATCATCTGTTTTCAGTTCTAATTATTTTGTAAATATCTAGTGTCCTTTGTAGTTTCTATAGGTCACAATACACCAAGCAACTAGACTACGCGGAATAACAAAAACAAACTCACATCGCCGGCACTGGCCATCTCTAACAGCGTGTACAGTTTCCCCGACTTTGGTTCATAATCGCGTTTTTCCCAGGTGGTTCCTGATTTATCACGAAATTTCTCTTTGAACTCGGCCACCGCGGTGTCAGCATCCACTCCGTCGCATACTAACTGTGACCGCCCTTCTTCGCCCTGCAGCCAGATCGTTTGAATTAAAGATCACTGCTTTCTGTTAGTCAAGTAGTCAACCTACCACGCGGCCCCATTTTGTAAAGACATCGTAGCTCTTGTCGTTGCGGCGGAGAATCTGTCCGATATAAAACTTGTTGTTGTTGTCGGTAATGTTGGTCTGGTTCAAGACGAAAGCGTAATCTTTGTAGACCGCGGTGTACACTCCAGGTTTCTCATTGATTGCTGTGGCATCAATCCGTGGCGGCATAGTGAGACACTGAGAATTATAAACAAACTTGCTATTGATGTGCGGTACCTTTATACTCTTCGGCCGACTGCTATTTACGTGAGACTATTTGTGGAAACTTGAACCTTGCGGACGCTGTTTTAATAGTATCGCAATGTTGGTTGAACGTAGAACTTGACGTGAGTCATTTCGGGAGCGGACAGGCACAGTACAGACCGCGGAGAGAATCGGTTGCTACTGTAGTTGTTACGTTTTTGAGTCATAAGCCGCTTACCAGCAATCAAGATTGCAGAAATCTAGGCAACCACCACTTTTGCCAAAACTACTGACGAAGCGTAGAATGACTCATCCCTAGTTTAAGCTCAGTACCATTATGCCGAATTTCCGAAGATTGCCGCTTTACAATCAAATTATGTCCATGTCCGTCCTACGGTCTTATCATTACAGCCGCAGTCCAGAGATTACAATTAAAGGTTATGCTCAGTTTTAAAACCACCACATCTATCTAGTCATGCAAATAATGAGAATTCGCTTCGATAGATATTTTCGCATCTGTATTAGCATACTGCAAACATGACTGACACGTGCTCGTTCTTTTCCATAATTTTATGAAAATAAAGCCTTTGTAAAACTTACGGAAGAAAATCTTTGGAAAAATCAGCGATGTGCGTATAACGTACTCGTATATATGAAAAATATCCGTTATTTGAAACCATGGCTTTACAGCTAGATAAGCCGGCTGTTTTATTTTCACTGTTCCCGAAGTGAGCTGCCATTTGTATATTCCTTTGCGATTCACATAGTTCTTGCAAGATAATAAAGTAATCAGACGTTGTACCATTTCTCTTCTAATTGATTAAAAGTCAGTTTACAACCTACATGCGAGTATGTGTACAATACACCTGCTTCCAAAATGCATTTGTAACATGTTTCAGATATACCGTACTCGTATCTGGAGTTCGGCAGCTACGTCACGATCATGATAAATATACGTCTGCTGATTTCGATGAAGATTTTTCGACAAGGACAAATAGCGGACTTCCTGCTTTTCTGCATGGATTTGATATAGTGGTAAGTGGGTACATGTACAGTACTTATATATATGCTAGCCCGAATGATGGTGCGAAACACGGTGCGGCATTGCGCCAAGATCAGGAACAAATTCAGGCGTCATTAATTACCAGCGTCTGGATTCGATCTTGATCTTGATATTAATTAATATCAAAGGTCACAGAACGTCGTATCCTTTAATTATATTCGTATGAATGTTGGCGAAGCACAGAATCAGTATGCATTGCATTACTTCAGCCCGTACACGGCACGATGAAACCATGCTAAAGATCCAGACAACAGATTGTTCGCGACATTTATAAATTTAATTTCGTAACCACAAGGTTTGATACCCGACGATTTAATAGTGCTAAGGTTTGTGTAGTGTGCACCACAATATATTCCACAACCATCGGTATTCGGGTTGTCAACAGTAAATACCAGGTAATATTGAACTTTTGCAACGTCTGTGTTCGTTAGCCATGGCCATAGTCAAAATTATTTACGATCTTGAATTTACTAACGGTTTCAGGATAATGTAAATTGGTGCGCTTTGAAAGAGCTACCAGTCTGATGAAACCAAATTAAGTGAGGTCACTAAGGTCACGAAACCTAATAAGTAGGCTCACCACTCAGCCCTCGAATGCGGTCTCCGTAGTACGAATTCTAGTAAGTAAGCAAGTTAGCAAACATTAGCTTCAAACATTAGCTTTTAAAAGCACGAGATTTGCCGAATGAAGCACAATAATCGCAATCGGCAATCCAGTACTGCAGCTGAAAAACGTACCCTCGCGCTTAGACCACTACAACAAGCTGGTTTGTCTGCCGATCAGGAACGGTTTTCTTATGTTTTAAGCATCATAATGGAAAGGAAAGAAAACGGAAACAATGCGAACCCTACGGTAGACATTATTTCTGTGATGTCTGGATCCTAATAAGTAATAATTGATACCGCTTTATTGGTTTACTTGTAAATACCGCAAGACATGTGTATTGTATGACGTACAATACAGTACTTATAACATGTATCCCATACACAACAGAGAAAGCCGTCGGATCCCATGATCCCATCAGTGATCTTTACTACAGCCGCACACGATGCTTAATGAAATCGCTCAATCACAACTTCGTTCAGAATACCACTGAGAAATAAGCAGAGAAACGGACGTCTTTAGACACAGATAGCTGCGTGAAGATAGCTCACAACAACTGCATTTGGCACTTGGTGTGAGGCCGGCATTGTTTCGTTAAAGGAGATTGGGAAAAAATTGTTCATGAGGACGGGCGAGAGTCGCTCCACTTGTTTTTTGTTTCATGGTTTAAGCTTAGAGATTATGCGTGGTAATGCTATGAGTGTGTTGTGCACAGTCCCTTCTCATGTAAAATGGGACAAATTCTTCATTTGATTGGTACGTATCATTGAGCGAAGCTCGCTGTATACATATTGAGAGATTAAAATTCTACACTGCATAAACACCTATTTACGCCAACGGCCCAACGAGCAACACTCTATAGTCTATACATGACTATGCGTCACACAAGAGCTTACGTTTACTCGTCGTTTAGGTTCGTTCGTGTTCGTGAAGGCATGCGCTCTGTGATGAAAGTTACCTGTGTTTTGTGTAGCCACTAGCCACTAGCAAGTGAAAGTGCAGAATCATCTGGATTACTTGTATGGATAGCACTCAGTACGAAATGCATATTGTTGGTCTGGAAATCTTTCGCACAAGTGATTTATGTCGTCCCATTTAGATCCTTGTCTTTCGTATCGCGGCATATGGGGATAGGAAGTAGCTCTTTCGAGTCCATTTTAACTTTTAAGTAAGGCAATATTTGATTCATTTACAAGATATCTGCGCCCTGAGGCTTGAATTTCAAGCCGAAAGAAAGAGTGAAAGACCAACGCGCCTGATCAACACCTCATCACTGCTGCCTGTCGGGTTTCTTATTGACTTGAAAACTTTCGCCGCCATGGACACCGTTACACCGTATCATTTTCGGAGTCTTGCATGCGGGCTGCGCGAAATAAATTTCGGGAATACGGTGATGGTTCAACGCGAGAACGGGGAACGGTGGCTCGGATACGTGCAGGATATCGATGAGGACCTCATGCTTGTGAATTTCGCTTCCACAACGGCTCCCGCCGACTGGATACAATCACGCTACGTCCGCGCTCAACGATTTTTAAGTGATAATCTGCGGGACTCATTGGACAAATACGTCGCAACAAAAGGCAGTTTTGCCGTGCAAGTGGCACTACGCAATTCACAGAATGGACCACACGTTTTTCGTCCGGCTCGACTCGTTACATCTACGAATCAAATGGGTTTGTTCTTCGTTCAGCTCGATGACGGTAATGCGCGACAGCCTTTTCCGGTCCACCTGTTTCAGATTGCCGTCGCTGTTGCTCCCGCCTTCGATGCGCCACCGCTGCACAACCAAACCACCGGACTGTACTTTCGCAAATTCACCGTGCCGTATGGGAATGCTAGCAAGATTAGGAAGCTGGATGCGTTGGCCTTGCGTGACTGCTTATATAAAGCCGGACAAGCCCCGTCGGCGAGTAAACCCGGAGGATCTGTCTGTTGTAACATGTGTGTCGCATACCGAATCTACGTTAATGTTACTGGGGATTGCCTCAGTTTTATTTGCGCCCAGCTCCATGACCGTCAAGATACCATGCGGGCCGAATGGGATGTCCATGCTCTTACACAGGCCTTTGCCAGGTTCTACCCTCCTTCGGATGCGCCACAGTTTTATGATTTTATGAGGAATTTCGCACAGCAAGGACTAGTTCTCGGTAAGCTGACATTAATTTAATCGAGTAGCTATTTTACCGCACTATGGTCGGCAAAACAGCCTTTTACTATTTAGCCACACACTGCGCGCCAAAATAGCCTTATTTGCCGCAGTCTGATTTTCGAGGATTTTAGTTTTCTTAGCTTAATTTTTTTCTCAACTCTTTAACTTTTCTAATTTATTTTAGGTTTTCTAGATTATTCTTAGGTTATTCTTAACTTCTCTTCATTTTCTTATTGAAATGAGAAAAACAGAGATTACGAATATTTCTAAAGTTCTTAGGTCTGGTAACGTATGGTACTGGAAAACTGTTGATCTGTTTTAATAATCTCCTTGGTAATAGTTAGCTGTTTTCTTTACCGACCGGACTTTGAAGTCCCGTTTACCGGGTTGTCTGCTCCTGATACATGAATGAATGAATGAATGAATGAATGAATGAATGGTGCGGTAAAATATAAACCATGGCTATTCTGCCACCCACGCGGCTGCAAAATAGCGCAAGGCTAGATACGCTGGGACACCATACCGTTAGCGAATCACCACCATCCATGTTTTACGGCTGTAGTCTGCTTGTGGGTCACTCCAAATGGCTCGCTATCGAATTCGTAGAATGAGAAAAATCCACGGTCCACAAGTCACAGCCATGCTGCTAATATCTGTACAACTTTCTGTTAGATAAGTGCTCTGTTGAATTGTAGATCATGACGGATGGATCGGTGATGTGGTGTCTTCGGTTATGGTTGATGTTCTCTTCTGCCTGGACCTACACACTCAAGCTAAAGCAAAAAGGTAAGGTAATATACGAACGACAGAACATAACTACCAACCCTCGTATGTGTACGAGTACTTGACGGCTGTAAAACAAATGGCAGGCCATAGTACAAAACGGATTTCCCTGAAATTTTCTTAATATGCTCAATAAGATTTAAAATTCAGTTGCATTTTCAAACTCATACTCACACGGGCAACATCGCATGGTGTCCTCTTTAGGGTCTGTGCATTGTGGCATCAGATTTTATCCGATCACCACACCAGCCGACACATTGCCATCGATAGCTCGATATTGAAGCCGACGAATTTATCCAACTCCTGGCTTTCCTGCCACAACGTTTATGACTTCAGCTGGGCCGTATATCAGGCCGTAACCACCGACACCAGAAGCCTTACTCTGATCGATTGTCTGCTGTCCTCAAACGTGCCTGCCGTCACAAAAGTATTAGCAACGGTTCTGTCGGTCAAAGGGATTCAGCTGGACTATATCCTGATCGGAGATGGTCGCTCATACGGTGGTATTACCAAGTACCAACTGCCCTGACGTGCACGACTTGCCGGAACCGCATCCATATTATGCTGTGGATCGCGCTTGGAAGTGTGACAGTTTAACCCGACTCATTCCCATTTGTCGGCGTCTGGTTCTGAGGAATTATATGGTCCACGATATTACCAGTCATATGAAAAGCCCCCGTTTTACTGACGGGGGCTTTTCTAATGTCCGGGTAGCTGGAAGTCAAAAGCGCACCGAACAAAAGTCTATCCAAATGTTTTCGGTGACGTTGACATTAATGATGGTAGTCAGACATTCATGGATCATATCTTCGAACGGTTTGAGCAGGGCTTTCTGTTGGTAGAATCGAATGGTGCGTAATTTGAAATTCAATCTAGAAATACCAACGTATGCATCGTCAACAGCAAAATTCAAATTATTTTAAACCGGGTTGCAACAGGCCGGCATTGTAGTTAACGCGGTCCTGGCATGAAGTTACAGTATTTGGGTACTCTTCCGCGGTTCCGTGAAATTTCTATTATATTGTGCGTGTTGTCCGTGAGCTTCGATTTTTTGTTCGGATAATAGTGAAGTAATTTGACAGTGTACCGCATTCCTTGGATCAAATAAATATCAGTTTGCAAATCTACTGCAGAGTAAGTATACCTAATACTTTTACGAGTTCCAAACCTGGTTAAACGTGCTTATAAAATGCAGTTATAACGTACACATAACGGCATTTTCGACAATTAGCGTCATGATCATGATAAGACGCGTGCGTTGTTATCGACAGAGACTTCCTATCAAGGATAAATGGCAAACTTCCTGTTTTTCTGCATGGGTTTGCTGCAGGCCTACAGTGATAAGTGATATGTATCTGCTAGCCCGAATGATCGGCGAAACATGGTGCGCCATCACGCCACCATGTAATCAGCCAAAAACTGGGTAATATGATTACAAAAAACGATAGCTAGGTTTTGGCAAAATCGTAATCAACTTTCAGCAGTGCAGTCTGTTACAATCATTCCACTCTTTCCCAGCTTGAAAGCACCTTATCGCAACCGGATAGATAGATATCGTTGACAGATATGGAAGAGAAAAAGCAATAACTGCAATACGCCATGGGAAATACCTCGTACGCGCAAGGCAAGTATTTAAGGAAGCTGTATTTCTGTTTTCCATTGCAATTTAGCCTCTGGAATTTATTTTTGTACTTCTGTACTTAGCCTCGCTGCTTTGTAGTTACTTCCTCCATATTAAACTGTGTTGGATACATTTCAATAATATACCCGATTCTGTTAGCGCTAACTGTTTTAGCTTGTGCAGGGAACGGAGAAGCGGTAGGACTGTATTATACGTATGCTATTAATTACGTTCGTGCGTTAGTCACAGTACGGTCATGTAAACGGAAAGGTCACATATTTTACTGTAGAGGGAAAGGTCACATATTTACTCTCAGATTTTATATTTGTGTTGGTACAGCACACTATTCCACCTTGCAGCAGTGCCCAAATATTGCTAATTCGACTGTCACGCTTTGTAGGCCACCAATGCCCATTATCTACACGGCACCAGTTTTGTACCAGACATTGCCAGCTTCTTCGAAACCGTCGTGTACGGATGGGGTACACGCTTTCGCTTGACCAGTTCGAATCTGCAAGAACGCTGGTTCCACGCGCCGATTCCTGTGCCGCTGCAACGCGATGGCAAAGATGCCTTCATAGATAAAATCACCCTCTTGTACCAGCTGCACGGGGGCACTATAATGAGCGTCCATGTCTGGGATGGGCGCACGAAGATAGCTTCGCACGATTACCTGAATCTGAAGCAGTACCATTCGCAGACCACTCCCGCCGGCAGCACCAACACCTGGACGGTTAATAAGGAGCTTCAGCATTCACTGGGCATTAGTGTTCTGGTTAAGTTTAGTGGCGAGAAAGCCATTACTTTCAATGCGGTGGGTGCGCAGTTCCGATATCTTTAAGAATTTTTCGATACAACTACTTGTTGCGCATTTTGTCTTAAGTACGTGTAACCGTTTTACTTAATTACGTGCAGTGTCAATTTTGATGCGGCGCGGATGTTTTTCGAAGTAAATTAAAAATTATACAATGAGCTTATTTTATAATTTCATTAATAAGTTTGTTAATTTTAAGACGAATGTTATGGCTCTACTTATTTACGGCATAATCTGTCAGAACATGTACTTGAAGTATGTATGTATCATTTCGAACCCGCCAATTTTTCCAAACCCGCCAATTTTATCACTATGAAGCATAATTTTTAAAATTACGCAAAAACCGTTTTCCGATGTAAAAAACTGCGGGGAAACGGATTCTTTGAAAATCAGACAGAAAAAACGCCATCTGAACGGTTTTTGGCTCACTGGCACTTAAAAAATTTTATTTTATTTATAATATTTATAATATATCACATGTACCGTATATTATAACTTAGCGGAAGTGTAGAAGCTACTAATTAATATCAAAGGTCACAAAAACGTCTTTTCCTTAATTATATTCACATGAACGTTGATGGAGCACAACATCACGCATTACATCATTTCAGCACATACATGGCACGATGAAACCACGCAAAAGATCCAGACGAGAAACTGTTCGCGACATTTGCCAATGTAATTTCATAACTGTATGTTTTGATAATCGGCAGATCGAAGAGCCGGCCAGATGAACTTTTGCCGCGATTGAGTTTGTACCTGATTAGCTTGTAACTTTTCATCTGCAGCCAGAAGACAAAAAAGAATTCGTGGTGAGACTTTCACTTCTGTCGCGAAAACCGCAACGATAACTGATGCGCGCACAAACGGTTTCACGCAACTCTTTGGCTAGAGAATGTCTTATAGCAGTGCAAAAAAGTGTAAGGGAGTGGGCGTTCGTGCATGTACACCAGTTTGGTACCATGTACCGGGTCGCTTCCTTAAATTGCCTCTCAACCCAACGACTCCAGTCAGCCGCAAAATTAATTCAACTTTAAGAGAAGTTGAATATCCTAATAATCTATGTTATTTGCCGTTGTGGTGCCTAGAATATACAGTGTTCACACTGAACAATTGCGTAAGAACATTTTAAAACCTTGTACAATTTAATTTGAATTTCCCTTTTAGTCTGATTATCGGTTGTGGCCAATTAGTTAATTACAGTAGCTACATATTTACCAGCAAATCTAGACTGTCAATATCTATGCAGCCACCACTTGCACCGAAACCTTTTATGCTAACGAAGCTTTTCCTGATTTATCACATGTTTAAGCTCAATGAGTGTCGCTTGAGCATCGCTTAATAGTCAATCTGTGTATAGCGTTTACCGCTTTTGTTTGCTATTTTTATTTCCAGGTTACGAATTACCCCGATGCGGATTTCTGCAAATAGTTTCCAGTAAAGTTAGAACTTGTTTGCATATCGCATGATATCGGTAACCCACAACCAGAATTAAAACCACCAATGAAGCAATCAAGGAACTGTGACCTTTTCAGGCTACAGGCATACAACGCTGAAAGAAAGCTAATAAAACCATTAAGGATCGCACATAATTAAGCTCGGCTTTTGTTATCCACTCGATGTGTTGTGTTGTCATGCGTTCGGATATAGCCAACTGCATTTTTTCGGCATGAAACGCTTCAAGATTTGACAATGTGAAAGGCACCGGCATCTGGAGCCGGTCTTCTCTTTCTCGATGTTCTTGCCGCATAGCTTCAATCCTCCTACTGAGTCCCCTAAATTTATTTAGAATCTCCATCACATAATCTCTAATCTCAACCTCCTTAAACCAAGAAACGTGCTTCGATCCTGGGCATCCCAAATCCATAAAGCGCGGTCGAATAACACAGTACATATTGCTGTTATTCCAGAATTCGAACAGTGTCTGCAAGGGCTCGTTATTGTATAGTTGAAAGACAACCAAACCCGGATACCGAATTCTTAATTCGCGAAGCAGCTGAAGCGTGAAGCCATCCCACACTAATTCGTAACTGTCGGTTTTGTTAACGCCATATTCAGACACAGGATTCCGTGCTGCGAAAGATCTCCCGGATCGAAACCATTGCTCCAGAACATCTCCATGCCCGTGCGATGATATTCAGCGCTGCAGGAAACCAGTGGCATGGAAGGATCGTGGTGTGTTTCGTTCATAAAATGCTCCACTTGGTGCCACAGCAAGTGTAGTATTTTCAAGAAATTTTGAACCGTTGGAACACCATACCCATAGTCACTCCAGATATTAGAAGCGAGCGTGATACCTTGAACACCTAATGCGTAGCCGGTACTGTGAAAACACGCATGTCGTGGTTGAAGTGGTTCGCGTAGTATGACCACTGCGCTCAGTTTGTCCAGTGGACAGTTCGTCCAGTTAAACATTTCCGTCCATTTGGGACTGGTGGGAACGGTCCAGTTGCCGTCACTGAGGGGATAGTATTTGTCGTAGAGCAGAGGTAAGATGATATCGGACAGATAGTGGTGCTGTTCGTCATATTTTAATTCAAGGATAAAACGCCAGTCTGTATCGATACGGCTAATTACGGATTGGATCCATTCCTTTGTGAAATGCTGCGCCATAGTACACACCGAATAAAATGATAATAACATTCGAATTCTAATATTCTTTTTTCTTTCATTAAAGTAAAGCACCAGCCTGGTCACACGTTAAGCATGATACGCACCGTGAACCTGGCTATAAGTTAAACAAAATAGCTGTAAACGGCCCTAGCTGTAAATATACTCTGGCTGTAAACCTATTCCGTAATAATAGGTAGGAGGCACTTAACACCATCGATGCGGTAATCGTAAACGTTACATCAGCTCTGTGTCCGTTGACCATCGTTAGATTATTTGATTATCGTCCGTTCATGGTTATGTCCACGTGCAAGTAATGCTTATATGCTCGCGGAATGCCGATATCTAATCAGCACTTCTACTCTGTACCTAGTAGACGTATTTTACCATAAAATACAAATACAAATACGTATATCAGCATACGGCAAGTGTTAAGAAAGTGAGTGATTCACCATGGTTAGTAATAACAGCAAGGTAGCAACCGTATACTCGTCGAACTAGCGAACCGTGGTCCTGGCATCCAGCCCGACCACTGACCGGTGGATACCCGGACTTCTGCTATACACTTTCGTTCACTTATATACCAAATTGTGGTTCTTGGACAGCGGTGAGGTGCTGTCTCTGGCCGACATTCCATCCTGTCCGTAAAGGTCAATTCGGCGGTATACAAGTGCAGAATGTGACTGCCGGGTGATGTACGGTTATGAGCACTTCCCGGCTAACACAGCCTCGCAATCTCGTGGAGAAGTTTCTGTGAATCTTCTGGTAGACCATCTTTTGAAAGATTTGTCGTATTAAGTCGTATAAAATCGCGCAGTAACAGTTCGCAAAGAATTATGCGATAGGCAAAGAAACGTGAACGCAACACAAACTGAATTATATACTGTAGCGGCTCGACCAAGTTATACCACAGAGTTTGTATACGGGAAAATTGCACCCGCGCAGCGTGTGTATGCCCATGCATCGCGTGCACAAATAATACACACACTCTGGGTAGTGTCTTCCCGTACACAAACTCTGTGGTATAACTTGGTGGAGCCGCTACAGTAATTAAGCAGTGTGTAGGTTGAGTTACTAATTGTGTAGGTTGAGTTACTAGAGCTGTTTCATGGTCCGTTGTGGAAAGTATAGTTTGGAACAAGGAAGTGTTGGAAAATTGACGTTAATGGTTTTTAAACTGTTACTATTTCGCCCTGGCAAAAAATGCAGCTTTTCAGCGATAACTTCAAAATACTACAAACAAATGCTGACCTTAATATTATTGTCTTGGCAATACAGTAAAATCCTACTGAGTTCAGAGAGTGCGGTTAGTTTTTTATTTTATAAGATGCCAAAATTCTCTCTTCTCAGGCTTTGCGCTCCTTTGAATTCTTAATCGCTTGCATCCATAAAAAGAAGATTATGTTCTTAGTCTTGCTCGCTTGCGGTACGAGTGTATTTTAAGTTGCATCGACGATAAAAATGTTTCCCACGAAATGCGTCGTGTTTGACCGTCTCGACGATGTATTTCGTAGTCATCAACTGCAGTTCTGACTTTCCTTGAAAAGTTGCCTGAACAAGACACTGGTTTAGTAATTAAGTGGGATAGAGAATAAATATCTAACCGATTGATAACATCATCATTCTACCCGCCTTCAAGGCCGCGTCCACCTGACCCCTAGGCAAGTTGTTCAAGACAGTGCGCAGATCTATTTTACATTACTGAAGTCATAAAAAATAAATGGCTTGCTAATAATAAATGGCTAACCCAGTGACACAAGTCCGCAAACGCAAAATTAATTCAACTGTAAATTAAACACAGTTTGAAGATGATTTGCCATCGAGCCGCCAATGTACATTGTCACACACAAGTGACACAACACCCAAGCGACCACCAAGCAATTGTGACCTTTTTAAACTGAAGGCACGCAGCGTTGAAAAAGTCTAGAAAACCCTCAAGAATCGCACATAGGTCGGTGCGACTGTCGTAATCTGCTCGATTTGTCGCAATGTCGTGCGCTCCAACACAGCCAGCAGAAGTTTTTCGGCATCAAACGTCTCGAGATTGGCAAATGTGAGAGACACAGGCAACTTTAGCCTATCTTCTGTTTCTCGGCATTCCAACCGCATAGCTCCGATACTTCTTCTGAACCGGCTAAATGCAATTAGTGTCTCAATGACGTAACCTTCAACTTCGCTAGCATTATTGAACCGCGCAACGTGCTTCGATCCCGGGCGTCTTACATCCATAAAGCGCGGTCGAATCATACAGCTGATGTTGCTATTGCTCCAGGATTCGAATGCGTTTTGCAGGAGATCGTTATTGTACAACTGAAAGACAACTAAACCGGGATGCCGCACTCCCAGTTCATGCATTAATGCAAAGTGAAACCTCCATGCCAGGGCGATAGTTTTCTGTGTGGCAGGAAATAAAGGGCATGGAAGCAGCGTTATTTGCCTTTTAAAAAAAAACTGCTCGACTTGGTGTCACATCAAGTGCAAAAAACTCCAGAAATTTTGCATGGTGGGAAGACCACAACCATAATTTTTCCAAAGATGGTCAGCGAATGTGATACCTTGTACACCCAGTGCGTAGCCGGTACTGCGAAAGCACGGATGGCGTGGATTCAACGGTTTGCGTAGTACGATTACCGCGCTTAATTTGTGCAGTGGACACTCGTCCAACTAAAGATTTCCGTCTATTGGGGACTGGTGGGCCGCCCGTTAGGGGATGGTACTTGTCATACAGCAGCCGTAGGATGATATCGGACAGGAAGCAGCGCTGTTCGTCATATCTTTTATCAAGGATAAAACGCCAGTCTGTAGCAATAGGGCTGACCGTATTGCCGTATTGCCGCTGACCGTATTGCGAACTCGATTCATTCCCGTTTTGAAATGCTGCATGTCGCACACCAAACAAAATTATGCAAATTTTCGACTGCTCAGTTCCTCGAAATATTATCAAGCTACAATACGGTAAATCGCAAGCCTGCTCGCAAGTAAAGCGCGATACGCATCGTGAGCAAGTACTTGCGGTGAACAGAAACAGTTGCAAGTACACTGTGTTCCCTATTGACAAGTATTTCTCGTATTCAAACAGCATGGGTGCGATAATATGGGTAATTGGTGAACCTACATAAACCAGTCGTCCATAAACGGTAAACCATCGTCACATTATTTGCTTATCGTCCGTTCTCGTAACTTAAACTCGTGGAATGGCGATATCTTATCGGCACCGGAAGTACTGCAATACAGTTAACAAGTACACATCACTGCAATCTGGTACGTACGGCTTGGCATCGTTTTACAAGTACTACTCGTAGTAATTACAAATCGTGCGATCGGCTAGCTGGTAAAGTGAACACAACACCGGCTGCAATTAAAACATTAAGCACTGCGTAGCTGAAGTTAATCTTCTACGTTATGTGATTACGTCGTGTTATAATGGCTCTTTGCGGGATCGAACCTTATCATGGAGAGTTAGAAAACCCATACAAATTGAGAAGGATGTCTAAATAATTGAGACCGTTCTGCCGTGGAGATCCATCGATAATGATACACAAGCAAAAAATAAAAAAATGTGCAATTTATGAAGGGTGCGACTATTGTCACCCCCCCTCACCCCCTTTTGACTATTGTCACCCCCCTGCACCCCCTTTTGGCTATTGTCACCCCCCTGCACCCCCTTTTGGCTATTGTCACCCCCCTTTTGGCTATTGTCACCCCCCTTTTGGCTATTGTCACCCCCTTTTTGGCTATTGTACAAACTTAACCGAGACGCCGAAATTTTTTTTCCACGCGCGCAGCAGCAGAGAGACGGACATAACTGCGGGCTTTTTGCTATCGCTTTTGCTGCGGAACTCATTAGTAAAAAAAATCCTGAAGATGCGAAATTTAATGTCAAAAAAATGAGACCGCATCTAAGCGATGCATTAAGTGTTAATAAGCTTCGCTTGGCGCCTTTCCCTGCCGGTGGTGGCAGAAACAGAATTGAAAAAGACCCGCTGGTGGCGAAATTATAAAATAAATTTAATGGTGGTGGCAATAGCCTAAAGGCCGTGTTATAGGGAGTGACAATAGTCAAAGGGGGTGTTTAATTTATTTAAAAAAAGGGGGTGACAATAGTCGAAAGGGGGTGCAAGGGGGTGACAATAGCCATTTCCATTTATGAATTCATTTCCTAATTTTGTAAACGTGGTCATCCATGACCTTTGTTTCTTTTTCCAGTTGCATCCGGGTCTCAGCCATCATACTACGATATATTCATGGACTCTACATTAATATCTAAATCTGAACCAATATCAAGTTCATGTTGCTTCTTGAAATTTCGAATGAGTTGAAAATTTTGAACTTTATAGTCATGTGCTCCTGTCAGTCCTGAGTGATTAATTTGCAGTAAAGTTTTAAGAAGATCGGATAATATCCTGACTTTTGCTCACTACAATGCATTAAAACCCTTTTTGTCCATTTTAATTTCATTTAATACACCAAAAATCCAATTTTATCCATTTGATTTTATAGCGATAGGTTTAGTGGATGTACGGATACCGTATCACGTATGCGAAATTGGTACTACTGTGTACCGGGCCACGTTCTGTTACACGCATCGCATGTTTACCGCATGTGTGGCAGTCAATAACCGATAAATACCGCAAAATCCTGACCAAAATCCATCGTTTTATTTGAAATACATTAGAACGGATATGTTTTGCAATTTCGGGTTCCAAATTAATGGCCAAATATAAATAGAAGTCGCGCTCTACCACATGCATCAGTAAAAGAAAACCAACAACTATAAAATATTTCTAACCTTCTTCTTAAACAAACGCTAATCTAAGCCGCACCACCCCCACCCACCCCCAAAAAAGACGCGCCCATCATCGTCTAAACACCACCAAAAGATCCCCCGCCCACCGCATGCACATGCATCACGTGACCCCCTCCAACTACGCCGACTCCTCCTCACTCTGACTGCCGCCGCTCTTCCCGTCCTCCTCCTCGTCGTACTCCGCGGGCGGCAGGTACGTGGGCGGGCCCATACTGAAACTGCCCGGCTCAATGCAGATCTCCTTCTCGCCGGCCACCAGCTGCTTCTTGCACTCCTTCAGCACCATCTCCAGCACCTCACTATCCTGATAAATCAAACTCCCTTCCACATTATACTCCTGCGCGTTCTTGCACATGAGGAGGATGTCGTGCTCGAAGGATTCGACGGTCTTGTACTTCCCTTCCTGCATGCCGCGCTCGATCTTGTTGAGGTCCAGGGGTTTGCGGATGACCTGGTAGTAGTCGGGGAGTTCGCGGCGGGTGGGCAGTTTCATGAAGGGCCCGGAGAGGACGCGTCCGTCCGTGTCCTGGTAGCTGACCAGGATGTCGAACATCTTCTGGATGTCGTCGCGGGTCTTGGCCGCCAGGTCCGGTTTGGCCACGATCTTCCGCCGGCTGCGACTGCTCGTCGTCGGCCCGACTTCCTCGCTTTCGTCCGATTCTTCCTCGTACCTGTTGATGGAAAAAAGCATCTACTTATAATCCGAATCTTATATACTATAGCGAATTGCCAACTGGTGATAGGACCGTTTAGCACGGTTTTCCATGACCACTGCTCTACAACTTCGGCCATAAGACAGCACGGTATTGTCGACGTGTTACTCTTCTCTCACTTTGTCCATATTCCGTGGTTGCATATAGACAGGCACAATAAACAGAACACTATTTTTCACTATAAAATTAGACAAACAGGGCAAAAATAAAAATCACCATCAGTCAATTTTAACTGTGTTACACCGATAAAGTCCTAACAATTCCCCAAAAAAGCGCACAGAACACGTGCTATATTGGCTACATAACGGTTTCGTCATTCTTTAATTCAGCGTTCCATAAACCGCATTATATATTGTGACAGCTATTAATTTCAATTTGCATTCTCGTATGATTTCTTCCTCCTATTTGTTGAAAGGGAAAAAAGTAAACATGGAATTATAATTACCGAATCCACAACCAACACGTGTAACCAGGAGTTCACAAAGAGCCCCATTATCAGTGGACTGCTCGCGACCACTATTCTACGACTTCGGCAATTACGGTAATTAGCGTATTCCCGACGTTGTAATTCGTCCCTTTTCTTTACCTTATACTCCGTAAACACACTGCCGTAATACCAAACAGTAAAAATTCACCTTCAATGAAATTCATTCGAATTCAATACATCGTTATTAATTTCCCAAAAAACCGAAACCATTTTACAGTGTGAAGCAGTCTAATGTACTTACAATTATTACCTTTTGATTGCTTTACAACAACTTATACCATTAATCTAAATCAGCAATATAAAAATCAGCAATATAAGTAAACCGCAATATTTTAAATTAGTTTTCAGCACCGATCCTACACAGCACAAGTTTTTCGCTTTAAAATAATTGATCTCCGCGTCTAACCAATTCCTTTTCTCACCGTGCACGGCCCCGTTTGCGCCCGGGCGGCGGTTTGGCCGGTTCCGGGGAATCTTCCTCGTCCTCCTCGACCACCTCCAGACTCTCCAGAAACTGTTTCTCCAGCAGATCCTCCGAGTAGTCCACCTCCTTGCGCTGCCGCGATCCCCGGCCGAAGATGCGATCCTCATCGGAATCCGCCGTCAATCGCTCGATCTCCTTCTCGTCCTTACACAGCCAACTGGGCAGTTCGTCTTCCTCCATCAGCCGCGGTTTGGGACCGCCGGGCGTCCGAGCTTCCTCCAGGATGCGGGCGTTGTCGATCTTCTGCAGGGTCTCGAATTCGTCCTCGCTGCGCGCCAGCATCTGGTTGATGGTCTCGTCGTCGGGGATTTCCTTCTCATCTTCCTCCCCTTCATCCTCCTGACAGCAAAAACATCGATTTAAAAAATAAAAAAAAAACACTTCCACTTTAATTTACATGTTCTTCTCGAAAAAGTTTAAGTTTTCACAATTTTCATTAAAGACTGACTGACAATAAGCAACTGTTCGCGTAATTACCCCTCCACAGTAAGCCACCAATCTACGATACCGGCATAATGAAGAGTTATGCAGCGTAGGTAATTGTTGTATCGCGCGACATATTGCTAACACACATCCCAAGCAGCATAGAGCCACATAAACACCGCAATATGTACGAATATCAATCTGCTAATTATAGATGCGCTGAATATTCTCAAAGGCTACAAACGCAGCCGGAAAACATGCTGTAAAGTGTCAACCACGCAAAAGACTGCCGACAAATTAACACTGACTTATTCACACGAAAAAAATTAACCAATATAATAACGCCAAAAATTTAACAAAAACAATACCAATATTAACAAATTAACTGTATCATCTTCCCCAAAGAATTATATACATTATTCTGTTAAAATTAATAACCAACCTGTGTGAGTACAGCCTGCAAAAACTGCTGCCGCTCGGTGAGCGTAGACTTCTGATCGAACATGCCGGCCTGGATGACCTTCTCGTCGAGGTTGAGCTTGTACTTGGCGGCGGCCTGGATGCGCTCCTCCACGGAGTTGACGGTCATCAGGCGCAGCACGCGCACCTCGTTCTGCTGGCCGATGCGGTGGGCGCGGTCCTGCGCCTGCATGTCCTGGTGCGGGTTCCAGTCCGAGTCGAAGATGATCACCGTGTCCGCCGTCTGCAGATTCAGCCCCAGCCCGCCGGCGCGCGTGCTCAGCAGGAAGATGAAGTACTCCGAGTCTTTCCGGTTGAAATCCTGCAGGAGTTTCCCGCGGTCTTCCGACTTGGTCGTGCCATCCAGTCTGCAAAACGGCACACATGCACACGCGGCATACGAACAATCTCGTACATTCGTCTATAAAGCGAATTTTTCTTACGTAAAATCCTATCTGGATACCGTAATATCAAAGTAAAAAAAATCTGATCGAAACAAGTTTATTACTGTGGGTAATACAGCAGCCTTATAGCATTCCATCCTTCTGTTAAGACATATTTATTTAATTGCGTTCACAAAGAGTGATGTATGACAAATTGTCAAGTTTCAACACCCTGAGTGTAGAACAATGGCCGTGCTTGGTGGTTACGGTCGGGAAAAGTCACCGCCAAAATAAAATCCGTGCTAAAGTTTGACACCGAATAACTTCGAGCCTTCACAACGTTTTTTTACAATTTTAATATTAAGCTAGTTTATTCCCTGGACTGCGACAACCGCCTAATCTAAAAGAATCAATTCCGCAAACAAACAGCAAACAACAATTCCGCAAACAACAACCGCAAACAACAAAAGAATCAATTCCGCAAACAATTCCGCAAACAACACTTCAAAAAGAGAGAGGCAAAATTGATAAGAAAATCTTCACTGTTTTAGGGTTGTTTCGTATCCCTGCAGTACAATAACTGAGTTTCCATAACAATTATTATTAGAATTATTTCATAAAATTATCATTTTATTTTGTTATTTATTATTATTGTTAGTACTAAATCTTATTATTAAAAATTACTTTTATTATTAAGAATTATATTATAATCAAAGTAATACCGCCATTGGAATGTCAGTGATCCCACCTTAGATATTTCAGATGTCGCCAGTTGAGATAATCCTCCATAATGGTCATCAGCGCCGTCATCTGGCAGAAAATCAGTACCCGATGATTGGTCGCCTTCAGCTTGGGCAATATCCGATCCAGCAGCTCAAACTTCCCCGACGCCCGGAAGAGCACCGGCCCGGTGACGGCCGGCTGCTTGTCGTGCTTCTCGCCGGCGTGCTTCTCGGCGAAGGCCTCCTCGATGTGCTCGAAGACGAAGGGATGGTTGCAGATCTTGCGCAGCTGCATGATTGTGTTCATCAGCGTCTTGGCGCCGCCGCGGCCCTTCTTGTTCGACTCGGAGCCGTCGGTCAGCAGCACGCCCTTGTGCTGCATGTGCCGGTACAGGAGTTTCTGCAGCGCCGACATGTCGCATTTGATCAGGTACTCCACTTTGTCCGGCAGCTGAGATTCCACTTCCTTCTTCAGACGGCGCAGTAAAAACGGCCGGAGTACTTTGTGCAGACGCCGGATGATCAGGATGGTTTCTTCTTCGTTCAGCTCCACTTTTTCACCTGCAGCCAGATAAAAGTTACTCAAAAACTTGGTGAGATTTTACTTCTGCAGAGATACCGCAGACAAAAACCAACAGCTAATCTACTTCAAATCAATTCATTAATTACTTTATATAAATTTTAAAAAATCGGTTAAGTCAAAATATCGTGGGGAAGTTTCATAATTACAGTACATTTACGGTATGTCAATTTCAAGGCCAATTACTTATTTGGCGGGAGATCGACGGTGAATGTTAGGTGAATTGGCGCCACCGTTCTACCATATCGGCTAACAAAACGGAACTACGCAACATATCTGTATGAAAACTTAGTACGAAGCAGAAATGACGCCCAGTTTTGCTATGTTAGAAACTTAAAATATCATTATTCTATACCAAACTGTGTGTTGAATTTTAATTCAGTTCAAACTGTTACTGAAATATTATAATCTGCGCTTTAAATAAATTACTCGGCCGCAGCCAAAAATATGTCCCGTAAAAATAATCATAACTGCCAATCCAATGCTCAACGGCAGAAATTAAATAACTTGAAATAAACTTATTTAAATTTTGAATGCATGTAACATTGTCTAGTAGGAACCATTACAAAAGTGAAGTAAAGCTACAGAACAATTAAATACATCAACTTAAACCAAAATCGCAGTCCGAAGACTTCATTAATGTACGTACAACGTATTTTTGCCGTTGTCGAAGCGAAAGGCCAATTAAGTATATTTTCATCATTTTAAATTTCACTTTTAAATCTGCATAGTGCTTACCAGTTGTAGCAAAAGGCGCATTAAACCACTGCTCGAACGTGGTCACCGACTTGAAGATACTGGGCAGCAGGAAATTCAGGAGCGCCCACAACTCCGGCAGTTTATTCTGCAGCGGTGTGCCGGTCAGCAGCAGCCGGTGCGGCGCCGTGTAGTACGTATTCAGGATCTGCGTCAGCTTGCAGTGGTGGTTCTTCATGCGGTGGCCCTCGTCAATAATCATGTACTTCCAGCGGACCTTACTGAGACTGGCCTTGTCCTTCATGATGTACTCGTACGTCGTCAGCAGGACGTTGAGCTTCCCGTGGCGGATCTGCGTGTTGTAGGCACGGCGGACGGTGGGTGTGCCCTTGTAGGCGATGGTGATGACGGAGGGCGCCCATTTCTGGAATTCCAGCTGCCAGTTGGACAGGGTGGACAGCGGGACGATGATCAGGTAGGGACCGGGGTTCTTCTTCGCTTCGATCAGGTACGTCACCAGACTGATGGTCTGCAAACCGGTACAACTGTTAGAAATTGTAGAACATCGGCTCTGACAGCCTCAACGCACATTCCAATAGAGCTATAGTCCAAATTTCAATATTCTATCACCGACTTAAAACAAATTCAGAAAATGATTTCTGTTACCTTTTTATTTTTATGAGCAGCACATTTTTTCAGGATGAGAAAATACTATCGGAAACGGGTTGGTAGAAGAAACTGTCGCTGCTGTAGCCTACCGACCAAGTTCTATACTTGAAGTATGCACAAAAATAAAAACAACACTTTCAACTGGAAATTGCATTGATCTGGCATTCTGGCTACGAGCTCAGCCAGTCAATATCACTAATCAAAATTTGAGAAAAGTTCACGACGCTGAATGACCAAATTCAATAAAAAATAATTATCAAATAAATTAATTAAAAAATTACAACTGAATATGGTAGACCAGATTTACAGGGCAAACAAGTGATTTGTGTAAGTGAATAGTGATCCGGTTCCCTGCAAACAAAATCCGGATTTCTGTCTAAAAATTTTAACTAAAGAAAAACACGTTAAACACCGAAAAGCACTAAGAATCCGTAAGTCAGAATTAAAAAATAAAACATTCCATAAACCGCCGGACATCTGAAAAAACGGCGATATCAGACAGATGGTGTCAAAGCATAATAAAACGTAGACTAAAGGCTCTGTTACTGTTAGCAGTCCCAGTTTTGCAGTTCGAATTGTAATATTGCGCAGACAATTTTCTCACTATAACTTTTTAACCTAATTAGTTGTTTCTTTTTTTATTTAGCGTAAAACTCTTTCTTATTCATATAACTGTACACGAACAGTTCAACAGTAAGAAAGAATCAAACGCAGTGGCCGAGTCCAGGGCAAATTTACAACGTAAATTAAGTCAAATTAGTGATTTGTACTCCGTTTTATGCAAACAAAACTCATCTTTTCGGCTGAAAACTGCTAACGAAACCGAAAACTAGGAAACGCAAAAAAATAAGAAATTAATTAAATTAATAAGAAATTAAATCATGTAATTAAATTAATAAGAAAACTATAAATCGACTGTGGAATCGATCAATCTATAAATCAACTTTGGATTGGAAAAATAGTTAAAATACCGTTATTCGTACCGCACCTGTATGGTTTTGCCCAGACCCATTTCATCGGCCAGGATCCCGTTCAAACTATTATTATACAGCGACACCAGCCACTCCAGCCCCTTCAGCTGGTACGCCTTCAACTGTCCCCCGACCATAATACTCGGCTGCACCGTCACCACCTCCCGGATGGCGTGCGCCATCTGATAATAATTCTGATTGGCCGCATCCACCTCCGACTGCCCATACTCATCGTCCTCCGCCTTGGCCGTCCTCAACAGCTCCTGCACCTCCTCATCGGCCTTCCCGGTCTCCACGTTCTTCCGCTTGGCCTCCTCCTCGTTCTCCGAGCCCTCCTCGTCCTCACTCTCATCCCGCGGGGCCACCTCGTACTCGGGATGCTGCTCCAGCCACTGCTCGAGGTGGGAGGCGCGCGGGGCGTCGTCGCCGCGCAAAATCTTCCCGGTGGCCACCTCGATGACGTGGACGGCCTGGTCGCTGGACTGGGACGACTCGTCGGCGCTGTTTTGGGAGGATTCGTCCACGCCGAGGATGGCGCGGCGTTTGGCTTCCTGTTCTTTGCGCTTCTCGCGCAGCTCCTTCTGCAGTTTCTTGCGGACGGCTTTCTTGTGCTCCTTGACCATGTCGGTGAGGTTGGCGACGTACTCGTCGGTTTGTTTGAGGAGGTGGGCGAGGCGGCGGTCTTTCTTCTGGTCAATCAACTTCCGGTAGCCTTCTTCGTCTTCAGCCTAAACATGTCCCATTTTAACGCAGGAATTTTTATTACATATTTTAAAATAACCCATTTTTGACTCAATACAATTATTATACAACAAATAGCAATTCTCAAACAAGAATAAATTAAGAATATCGGATTATACGTATAAATCAACAACAGAACAAGAAACTGGAGTGTCTACGCATAATAATAAACAGGCGTTTTAAACACAGCAAAACGTTCATAACTTGTAAGGAAGCCAAGTGAATTGTAGTGTACCGGCTTTAAACAACCGACTTATCTGACACTTGTCAAAGCTACTACAAAGGAGTGTATTCAATGTAATAAAAGTGCAGTATCGACATGTTTTTTATTTAAAAAAATAACTGGTTAACCAGCTACATTTTGAAAGAAAACAGAACGAAAAACAAATGTTCGTACCATGAGCCGGCGCATACGCTCGCGTTCAATCCGCTCCTGCTCCTTCTTCTGCTCCCGTTCGGTATTGGCATGGTACGTCATGACGGCTTTATTCAGTCGGATCACCTTCGCCTGATCGGCTTTGTGTCCATCACGAAAGTCCTTGGCATGCTGCAGAACGGCAGCTAAGAATTGCTGCAAAAAAATGGACCAACATATCAAATGCAAACGATTACATAATTAAAATTTCAGATGAAAAAATCCCTACCTGTCGCTCCTTCTTCCGCTTCTTTTCCAGTTCGGTCCGCTTCTGTTTTTCGAGACGCTCCGTGGCGCGCGAGTCGCGGTGCATAGTTTGCGTTTTTAACCGTTTGTATAAATTCGGACAAAATCCCGATTCGAGAAACGTGTCTTTCGTGAAGATTTCGTTAATCTGTCAACAAAACTACCGTTAACGAAACCAACTGCAGATATATCAGAAATATCGCAAAAACAAATGAAGGCCTCAAAAATCCGCGTAATTTTTTACGTAAAAGTCAACAGCAGAATGCATCAGCCATAAATAACCAAAAAAGAAATGATACTGTGTGAATCGTTAACACAGTTTACCAATTACTGTCTTCAATTTAAATCTAAATTAATTCTAAATTAAATCAAAATTAATTTTAATTTATATCAAAAATAATTCTAATTTAAACCAAAATCAATTGAAATTAAAATTACCTCTTGTCGGATTTGTCGCTGCATCTGGATCAAACTCAACGACTTCAGCTCGATCGTGGCCTTCCTCCTCTCCTCCTCCGGCAACTCCTGCTGCAGCATCTTCTCCAGCTGATTTTTCCGACAATTCATGCCATGGATAATCCTACCACAATCCATCACCGCCCAATTAAACCCTATCCTCTGCCGCAATATATACCACATCAACCGTACCGTCGTTCGCGCTCCTCCGCCAGCGCCTCCAGATCAATCCCGCTGGTCTTAATCCCGGTGGAGCGGCACTGGCGCTCCTGATGCAGCAGAGCCAGCGCTTCCGGGCGCAGCTGTGCCGTGTAATCCGGCGGTGGCGGCAGCGGCTGGGGGACGAGGGCGGGCGGCGGCTGCAGCGGAAACGGCAGACCGTTGGGCGCCGGCTGCAGCATCCCGCTGTCGCCGTTCTGTAGCGCCATCGGCACCGGTGTCGGCGTCTGCGAGGCGGGTGACTGGTTGAGGGAGCCGCCGGAGCCGGTGGATTCCTGGCTGGAGACGGGCGACGCGGTGCGCGAGGCTGTATACGTAAATCATGCATATTTCAATAGCGTATACGGTGCAGTCATGTGTTGCCGCTTTTAATATTAATTTAATTATTTATTAAAATTTAATAATATCTGCTGAGGTTGTCCGTAAAGTAGATCAGCGGCCTGATTTACAGACTGCATTTTCAAGTTTCATACATGTATTCTGCTTTTTCATCAGTGCTTTCCTTACTTCCAATGAAAAGTTTTTTAAAACTAGAACGCAACCATCTGAATATCCGAAATCTCGGCAAAATCTGTACTATCGGTTATTTTTCGCTTTTGTTAAAATTATTTACAGATATAGCAGCGGAAGCCGTAGCCATCATAATTCACTGCCCTGAGAATCTTCAAAGCTTCAGAAAAATTCGTACGGTTATTTTTCGTTCATTTCACGCAGTTTTAACAACAAATTTAGCAGCAAAATTTAGCAGAAAACTTCCATACCGGTTATTTTTTCGTTCATTTTATGAAAATTATTTAGCAAAATTCGGAGAAATCAGAGCCTATCCAAATCTCCAAATTCACGAAAAACTGTGTACCGGTTATTTTTCGCTCATTTTGTTAAAACTATTCATCAAATTCAGTAGCAAAATTCGCAGGAAATTAAAGCCATCTCAGTCTGCAAAATCCATAGAAAAATCTGTATCGGTTATTTATCGTTCATTTTGTTGGCAGCTACCTCTGTATTTATCAGATTCAGCAGCAAAATTCGTAGCAGATTATAGCCATCAGTACCTTCAAATTCACAGAAAAATTCATACCGGTAATTTTTCGTTCATTTTACTGGAATAATTCAGCAAAATTCATACCAATCACCGCCATTATTCTATTTTTACCCGCAAAAATTACTTACAATTTCCTCCGGCATTCCCCTGATTGCTGGCCACCAGCGGCCGCCGATTCAGCACGGCAAAGTACACCGCCTCCGGGAGGATCTCCCGCTTAGAGAAATGCTTAAACGCCGCGATCTGCGTCTGGAGAATCTGCCTCTGCAGCGGCGTCAGCCCCATCCCCGCCGGCTTCACGGGTCCATTACCCCACAACGGCGGGCTATTCTGACTACCCCCCGGCGGGGGCGGCGGCGTGGGGTACTCCATCCCGTTGAAATTCTGCCCGTAAGCCTGGTACCCCCCTCCCCCGCTCTGATTGGACGGCGGACGCTCCGGCTGGCCATCCGGGTACCCCGCCCCCCGCGGCGCCTGCTCCGGGGGCTGATAGTACCCGCCCGCGGGGGCGGAGGGGTAGGGGGCGGCCGGGGGCTGGATCTGGGCTTTGACCCGGTTGGCCATATTGACCAGGGAGGAGTAGCGCGGATCGGCGTGCATCCCCTTCTCCTCCATCTGTCCGATGGCCTGCAATAAGATCGGCAAGAGTTCATTCGGGGACATGGTGTTGTAGTCCCGCGGGGGCGCGGGATTCTCCTGCTGCTCCATTGGTCAACACAACGCTAACGTCGCCAACACGCTACATTACATGGTCTCGCTGTTATTATCCAATACAAGAGCACTGTGTCGCAAAAAGCCTTCGAATGCACACGTTCGTGCCAGTCATAAGATTTCGCGTTAAGCCTGTTATGCGCTGTGTGTTGGCATGAAAAACACTGGGCTGTTGCAGCGACTGTGTGCTGTGTGTGTGTTGTGCAGAACGGAGAAAATTGTGCCATTCACCGTAGCGCATGTTTTTCGGTACGGCTGCTGTGTATAGCTGTATATGTGTGGGGATTAGTCACAGCGGTGCAGCCGTATATCACGACTGCAGCCGTTCGTGGCAATCGGCGAAAAGCGAACCGGAATGGTTGGTTTTCGCTGTGCCGCTGTGCGCGGCGCAGTGCCGTACGGACTACTGTACAGAGACGGCTTTCGTCATACGCTGCCAGCAACCTGTATCCGTGATGATAATAATCAAGCCCATTTTTATGGCGCACATATTTTGTTATTTGCTCGAAAGACCGGCGCGGAAAACGTCATATCTCGTTCCGTAATTGACAGTCATTTTGGGAAAATATACACTTGTGGCTCTTATACAGAAAACGGTTTTATGCCGGGAACTACTCTAACCACGTCCATTTCCGCTAATTATTTTAAAAATTAATTGCCGCTAACCTCAAATTATAACAAATTTTTTGGTTCGACATTCGTGAAATTTTCCGAACGCATCGCGCTGATATGCAATATACCAAACATTTTCATAAAAAACTCAGTTGATAAATTTTAATTATTTCCGGTGTGGGATTGAAATACTATAAAAAATCAAATCCCATAAATTTAAACTTATTAATTCGATATCCGTTAAAATTTTCTAACGTACCGTGTTGATACGCAAATTACACCATATTTCAGCATTTTACAACAAACTCGGTTGATGATTTTTTTAAATTATTTCCGGTGTGCAACTGTAATTTAAAAAAAGAAAATCCCACAAAAATATGACAAATTAAATACTTTAGTTTCGTGCTTCGTAAAACATCCTAACGCACGCAAACTCGGCATTTTAAAACAAATGCGGCTTATTTTTTAAATTATTTCCGGTGTGGAACTGGAATTTTTGAAAAATAAATCCCATAAAATGTGACAAATTTTCCTGACTATTTCGCCCACGATTCCCACCGTTTCCCGTATAGCATACCGCCCTAGAAACGCGGGATTTCAGAACAGCGAAAATCGATACACTCCACCACACGCACATAGAACCGAACCCAATGGCGCCCGGCGCATTCCATCACGAGTGTGTGCAACTGCAGCTCCGCATCCCGCATCGATTGGCGGGACGCGCACAATTGCTGCGGCGGCTGCTAATCAACAGGACTGCACCGGATGTACTCGCGGGAGATGCTGGCTGCCAGTGTGCTGCCCACACCGCCGCCATCGTGTTACTCTATTCATCCCCGCTTAAACTTATTACAAGGGGGATGAATATAAAGATACAGCCGCTATTTTTCAAGAGCTACAAAAGAAACGATACACACAGCGCAAACACGACATACAGCCGGTCTTCCTGGTCTTCCCGTCCCCGAAACCCTGATCTACATAAATTTTCTCAAAAATCCGGAAAAGCGTGGTGGAGGTTAAATGCTTGTGGAACTGGCTAATCCGATCGATAAATTCTAACAAATTTCAAAAATATAAAAATAATCTCTGATGAACCAGAACCTGTTTGCGAATAAAAGTAATAAAAACAAACGTTAAACAATTTTAATTTTTCTTAAGCAAATTATTAAAAAAATTACGAGAAAACAAAATGCCTGCGAAAATGCTTAACCCGATCGATAAATATTATTGCAAAATCGAAAAGACAGTACAAAATAATCTTCGAAAACCAGGACCAGTTCGCGTATATAAAAATAAAATCAAACGATTTTAACTTTTTCTTTGAAAAAATATTTATAAATTTGTGCGTCTATTCTGCGATGAAATCGGACGGAGCAACATAATTCGGCCCGCGCTCAAGCTCTGACTCAGACTCTGACTCTGACCGCTCAAACTCTGACTCTGACTACTCAAAGTCTGACTCTGACTGTCCAAACTCTGACTCTGACTGAATAACCTAAGAATAACTTAAAAAACTTAAGAAACCTAAGAAACCTAAGAAACCTATGAAACCTAAGAAACCTAAGAAACCTAAGAAACCTAAGAAACCTAAGAAACCTATGAAACCTAAGAAACCTATGAAACCTAAGAAACCTAAGAAACCTAAGAAACCTAAGAAACCTATGAAACCTATGAAACCTAAGAAACCTAAGAAACCTAAGAAACCTAAGAAACCTATGAAACCTAAGAAACCTTCAGAGTCAGAGTCAGACTTTGAGCGGTCAGAGTCAGACTTTGAGTAGTCAGAGTCAGAGTTTGAGTGGTCAGAATCAGAGTCAGAGTCAGAGTTGGAGTCTAGGCCACATAATTCATACAGACGCAAGACAGAGAAAAAAGAATCGACAAACCTTGGGAGAATTCTGCTGCACCTGCATTGCATACTGTCCCGTCGCCTCCGGACCATTCCCGCCGGGATTCTGCTGATAATAACCGGGAGAGGGCGGGGGTGCGTAGCGCGGAGGGGCCCCTTGGTGGGGCGCATAGTGGGACTGGTGCATCGGCGAAGGAACTTGACTGGAGGGACTAGGATTGGACGCGAACATGGTAAACCAGCGCACAGAATCAACAACACCAGCAGCCACGGCTTCCCATGGCGCCCGCACGGCGCCGCAACGGTGACGCAACAATCAGCAACACCAACTCGATATCTAATTATCGCTGAATCATTCCTACAGCCGGTTGGCTAATGAACTAAAGAAATGAGCGGCAAAGCAGCCCACATACACGGGTAAATCGAACTAGGCTGCCAAATATATCCACCGCGACAAAATCAGCAAAAAATTGTGGCGTGGTGTAGTGAGGTTGGCGTTTAGGGGGGTGCGGTGTGTGTACACGCGGCAAGGGTCCGGATGCAGGGGCTTCGTGACGCCACGCCACGCGGTGCAATCGTTGCAATCAGCGCACGTTGTTCGCTGGGGCTTTAATCAAAGCGAAGGCCCATTCAAGTGGAGATGGAATGATTATGCGGCCGCGGCTGACTCGTGTGTAGAAAAACGCAACACAGACACACACCGATCTACCGTGTGATTCATTCGGTCAATTCCATGAGAAAACACTGGTCGACAAAACCAGTCGCAGCATATAGCACATATACACAAACGGTTGGCTGGTGGTATATCAGGCAGACAAAACAACCTCTATATTACTGGCACGTAGCGGATGAACTGCGCTGCTAGACTCTGAAATTTTCTTCATTGTGGCCAGTGCCAAACGCGACCCGATATCGCCTCAACGAGCACACACGATAAAGCGCCGAGCAGCGCAGCGCGTACGTGCTTATCGATATTCAAGCGGTCTTCGGTCCGTGTACGTGTGTACGGGCGTCCAGTTCATCTATTTTATGCCACCATCAACACCGCACTGCACTTGCTTTAATCTGACCATGTAGAATTTCAATAAAATCGTGTTTAATTTTTTTTCGTGGAATGAAGAACAGAAGAGTCACGAGAAGTCGTAATAACAGCTGCCGAAAGTGTTGCTAAATCGGTCGGTCCGTGGTCGGACCGGTAGGCCGCACCCACTTTAGCATGAATGGGCTTATTTTTAACCGCTGCACGGTAAAATATTTCTCCAGCTGTCACTTCGGTGTGTGGGCAATAGTCGCAGCAGCTCAAGCTCACGGGCTCATTTATTCGGCAGCAGAGCAGAGCCAAACCAGCTTGGTGGAAATATTTCCTTGCTGGTTTATATCGGCCGTAGAGTGCTTTCTGCACTACTTGTACGGCAAAGTGCCGACGCCAGCGAGGTCGGCGTGAGCGAGCGGATCTCTTCCTGCAGGGAACGGCGCGGGCGTCATCGCCGTTATGTGCTGCACACGAAAATCCATTACACATCCATCCAGTACAGTGAGTACACACAGCCGGCTGAATTCAAATATTTGACACAGGACAACATCGACGTGGAAATTGTGGAAAATAATCAAAACATATAGGGCCAATATTGCAGTCCACCTTTATGCAAAAAGTAGAGATTCGTTAATCCAGTTTTAGAAAACTGAAAAAATTCCCAGGAAATGCAAAGACACAGTATTTATCGGAAGCAACGGAAACTGATCATTTTTCTGAGAAAATTTTCATTTTCCAGTTTCGACAATTCAACAAGCGTCAAGCCGATATTAATTACTGAAATGTTTATTGCGAATCACGGACGTTTATTAATTACAAAGTAAAAGCCAAGTTTTAGGAAGATAAAAAATATTGATTAAAAAATTTTTACCGTTTGAAATACTTCTGGACGCTTTTAGAGACGCAATCAGACACTTTTCGATTAATGCAAAACCATTAAATTAAAAATTTAGCAACGGAGTATTGGAAGGTTGCAATGGCGACACACCGGCGGTGTTCAAACAGCGCCCGCTACCAGGACGGCAGCCAGGTGGTCACATTTTGCCTCTTCATGAAAGGCGAGCCTTCGAGCGCAGTTTTCGTTTTTTCATAATTGTGTTTTTCTCGTCGTCGTTGTTTACGTGTTGTTTATTGTTTACCTAGTTTTTGCCGACGGTAAGAGCTAGGTACCTTTACTAACCGAAAGATTAATCAATAAGGTTGCAAGCCTGTTGTGAGCTGTCCTACAGGACCGTCTTGCCAAAACCACGAAAGCGATTTGGAAGATTTGTCATCTGGCTTCGATCGCTCATCTCGAGATCCAACGTACGCCTAAAGGGACTTGTTTTCCTGCCTGCGGGAATTACAACATAAACGGCGCATTGTTTGTGAATCTTCCGGCGTTTGTAGAAATTTCCGTTATCGGTGGTAAGTTCGTAGTTTTGCGTGTTTAGTGGAAATGTTTTAGTGTTGTCTGTTGGAATATTATTGAACTAAAGTTACTAAATAAATAAACGAATTTTGATTTAAATTTTTTTATAGTATTTGACGGATTATTTCCCTGAGTTTTTGCAATATCGTAATCGCCCATCGAAGTAAATTATGGCTAACATCTCTCGGTATTTGGAATTGGAGAAGGATGATCACCAGACAGAGATTTTGTACAGGCTACGAAAAGGTAAAAATGTGTGATTATCCGATTATGCGCCAGATCATGAGTGTACTATGTTTCGTAGTGTTGTGGCTTGATGCTGGAGCTACTAATTCACATGATGGAAATTTATTTGACATACTATTACTTACTTTTAAATGCAATTACTAATTGTTTTCAAAGTTTCGCAACAAAATTTTTAACGATGAAAAACCGAACCCAAGGAATTCTGTTTAAAAAATTGAAATTATAGTAATTTTAACTATTTAAGAACTATTATTTCAAACTATTTCTTCACAAAGTGTTTTTTTAAAATGCAAAAATAGGTATGTATGTTTTATAATTTTTGCTGCTCTTTTCGGGAACGGACTGAACGGTTGCTGACTAGAATCAAGAAATTAGCGTGAAATTAATGAAATAAAAACGGTATTAAAGCTATTAAATTAAGCGACGTGGTTTTCAGGGTGGACCCTGGAATTCCGCAGCGGTGCGTCGCTGTTCGGGGTGCGTCTGAACGTGTTAACCAACCATCCCTTGAACGAGGGAACCGGGTACCGGCGCACGGAGTTCCAGTTGGTACCATGGGAGCGTTGCGATAAAAACGACCAGTCGTCGTCCGATCCTACCGGCTACATCGCGCGATTATCTTTAAAAATCGCCGGGGCGTTCCAGTATCGCTATGAAGACGCTGAAACGTAAGATTGTGGAGCACAGTACAGCTCCGTAATTTACGCGAAATTTTCCGACAAATAGCGTGTTTTTTTTAACAGCGAATAGGTTAATAATCTGTTAATATTATCGTAATATTCAGATAATTCGGTTAATGATAAAAATTAAAATTTTGAATTCACGTTGTGAGTGCATTTGATATGAGTACAGTTGGGTTTGCCAAAACAAAATACTCATTATTCTACGTCTTTCCATGCTTTCGGCTTCGGGTTTTGAGCTATAAGTGCATAAACGTGGTTTCGTTTAGCACATAGAGTCCCATATTCAATTCGACTGTTTTTTTATTCAGTTCGACTGTTGTAGAATTCAATACAATCGACTGTTGTTTTTATTCATGATCGTATAAGGGTTTGCTTAATTTTTTTGCTCAGCAGTTTGTGCGTTGTTTAGGCATGCGGTGTTGGGCAGCGGATACTTTCACGTGGATCCTGATTTGCAATTCCACAACGGTGAACCGCTGTCGTTGGACGGCGTGGTGCTGCAGACGGTGGTTGTCAAGCAGCTGGGGCCGCTCAGCGAATGGCTGCCGCGTCTGCAGGTGGCTGTGGCGACCGGCTACAATATGCTGCACTTCACGCCCATCCAGGAACTGGGCGACAGCCACTCCGCCTACGCCCTCAACGACCAGCTGAAGATGGCGCCCACCATCCAGGGGTCAGTGCCGACTGTCTTCTTTAATTTAGCTTATTTAATTTAATTGCAATCAAAGCCGGTAGCCCATTTCCGGCTAGGTTGACAGTCTAGCATGGGATTTTCAACCTGGCTAAATATCAAGAATTAATGTCGGAAGATGAGCATTCAGTTAAATTAATTTATTAAGTTAAGTTTGTACTTCAAATTAAATTTTTTGGTTATTCCTTGATATAAAAAGGCATTGCTCATAAGTTTAATCTGTGCCTACATGATGAGCAGCATACAAAGTCGTAGAGCAGAGGCACAAAACGACAACGTCATCGTCGTGCACAAAACGATAATCGATACGACCATACGATAAGCGAAAAAACGAAGATAGGGTTTATCGCGGTTTTGAGTATTTGTTTTTGTTCAAATAACATGCGTAATTTTACCGATCAGGGCAGCGAATAACATCACATGTACAATGAGTTGTATGTGATATTGTGCAGAGTTGCATATTTACGTTTTTCTAATTAAAATTGCCCCTTCTTATACTTTGTTGGTTTCGCGTCCATTGATTTTTCAAATACAATTTTGGTCCACGGCGTGAAGAATTCAATTCTGGTGCGGTTTGATGCTGTTGACGGCAATTCGTTCTGTTGTCAGATAAATAATTTACGCTTTAGCCTTTGCTTGATAACGTTTGTGGGTTAGGAACATCGGTGTAAAATACGTTTTGAATGCAGTTCAGAAGAATACGTATGTCCGCGCTGATATATATTCGTAAATATTTGCAGGAAGTTGGAGTACGTTGCGAAAGTGATCGCCACACTGTACGAGAAGCACAATGTCCTGTCCATCGTGGATATCGTCCTGAACCACACCGCCCACTCCAGTCCCTGGCTGAAGGACCATCCGGAAGTGACATATAACCTGGAGAACAGTCCGCATCTGCGACCGGCGTTCCTTCTCGATCAACTCCTAAAACTCTTCTCCGACGAGCTGGCCGCCGGACAGTGGGCGGATCGCGGTATCCCGGCGACTATCACCGAAGGCCATCATATTGATGTATGTATCAGGAATAAAAAGTTACATTAATTTATCGTGGCATTGATTTTCGATGCGTCAGTTATTGCATTAATTACTCGTATTATGTCTTCCGCTTCCACTTGAGCACATTTTAGACGTGCTGCATTGTGTTGCGCGTATTATTACGATTCGAAGGCATAGAAATTAAATTTTCTCATTAAACAAAAAAATTTAATTTAAAAATTATATGGATAATTTAAAATGTATAACTACATGACCGTGCTAAATAAAACTTGTATGTGATATAAGTAGCATGTATTTGAATTATCTGCATGTTTAAGTTTAATTGTCTAAAAATTTAAATATAAGAATCTCATCTTTTAATTCGTTGATTTTCTAGAAAATCAAACACGCGTTGTGGCACGATATTTTCCCACGAGGAAAACTGCACGAATATTACTTGGCGGATGTGGATAAGCTGGTGAACGAGTTTCGTTCCGTATCGGCGAATTATAAAGGTATGTGGTACAGAGTATTGTCGTAGCGCAGTGGACTGCAGCTCGGACAACGGAACAGTAATGCTAAGCACTGCTTTGAAAAAAGCTACAGTTGCCATAATAACGTTAAAATTTTTTGTAGCCTACGATGATCAAGCGGCGGGTGTTCGCGAGCTGCGAATGCATTCCGGACCAGCGTACCGTCGATTTGGCGCCGCTGTCAATCTGGAGGAAGCCCGCGTCTATTTCAAAGCGCCCACGTATGATCCTTCCTCATTTTTCTTGTTGACAACCCGTTGATTGCATGATCACGTAATTACAGGAGTTCTGAAGGCGGTGATCCGAACAATGACTGGCGCATCAACGGCGCCGCAGATTTCTTCCGCAATTGGTTGAACCACGAGAACGGCCGGCGTTACGAGACCTTCCAGAGTCATCTCGCGGCCGCTATCAACGGGATTTCCGGAACTCTTTCTTACGAGCGCCTGCAGGGCGATGGACCGCATTTGGGAGCGTTTACAAAACAATGGCCACTGGTGCCCAAGTAGGTCGATTGAATTCGGCATAATTGTGAAATATGTATTTTGTTTTCTATATAATTGAAATAGTTTGCTTTTTTCTTCAGTAATATTTTTGTTGCATTTTTATTTTTTATTTCTTGGAGTTCATATTTTTAACATACTCACTATTTTTTTCCTTAAATTGTCGTAGCACGCAACGCTCATTTTTATTATGAATTAGGGTTGAGTACTTTTGTACGTTAGCAAAGCTCGGCAATATTTTGAAATACAAGTCATATGTTATTTTTTATCTGTATAATTCGGGTAATAGACTAATAGCTTGTTGTTCACTTTTCTCTTGTATTTTGTTTGATTAGGTTTATTTTATTTGTAATATATCCATTATTCTTTTGCTTAATTTGTTTTCGGTATGATTTTATACAACAGTTACCGCTTTTACAGTGTTATCTAGCGTTGTGATTTGCCACTGGCAGGTATTTCCACGTTTTTGAGGATTTTAAGAGTTTCGAAGACGCAGAAGCCGCGTCTGTCGATCCCAGCCGCTGCAGGTTCATTATGGCCCACAACGGTTGGGTGATGACCTTTGACCCCTTGAAGAATTTCGCGGCGGAAGACTGTAACGTGTACCTGCGCCGGGAACTGATCCCGTGGACGGATAACTGCAAACTGCGCTACGGCGATAAACCGGACGACTGTCCGTACTTGTGGCAGCGCATGCGCGATTACGCCGTGGAGATGGCCTCCACCTTCCACGGTGTTCGGCTGGACAATGCGCATTCGACACCGCTCAACGTCGCCGAGGTATGCTGCTTTGTTTCCAGATTTTTCCAGTCACCGATTTTTTCTATTTGTTTCTGATTGTCAAATCTTTGGCATTATGTTTTCTGTATGAGTTCGGGATTATGTACAATATTATTATTCGAAAGCATTCATAATAATCTCATTAATGATTTTGTTAGCAATTTTAAAGGCCTATTTTACGCTGCTCAAAGTCCGCTTGAAGGATACTGTGCACTGAAAAAAACAGCCGCGGTGGTTTGGAAAGGCAGATTAACGGAATTTCTTATGATTTTACGGCGATCTTTCAGTTGTTTAATGAACTGTGTCATAGTTCGGTTATTTTTACCTGTTATTTTTTCTTTTGTTTTATTTAGTTTTCAATGTGACTGTGTTTTGACAGTTCATGTTAGACGCGGCGCGAGCGGTCAACCCCAATCTCTACGTCATCGCGGAACTGTTTACCGGGAGTGAGGGGCGGGATAATGTTTTCGTCAATCGGCTGGGTTTGAGCTCGTTAATCCGAGGTAAGAATTTGTCGGCTTGAGAGTTGTTGATGCTTGTTTTGCTCAAATTGGCAGCATCAGACGACGACTTCTGTCGTTTTAGCTGGTTTTCGTAGTGTGCTGGCTTTACTGGGGCGTTTAGGCGCCGTTCAAATATTACGTAACGCAAATTTCCCGTTTTTTTCACCACCCCCTACCCCTTGTAACAACGCGTAACAAATTTTTGCATCCCCTGCAGCCGTACGTAACGGCATCGGTACCGCCCCCCCCCCTTAGATCACAAAAAGATTTTCTATTAATTTTATTTAAAAATTTTTATAAAACCAATCACGCTGCAAAAATTCATCGTCGTAGCAAGCCATATTATATTGCCCGGTTTCTACTTCTCAAGGCCCGGTTTTCCCTTCTAATACAGTTCAGTAGGCCCGCAGCCCGCTACTTATACAATAGGTGAATATTGCTATAATGTGGAGAAAACGTCAGGGAGAAAACATTTGCTAAATTTGCGTGATTTGTGCGCTCCTGAAATAATGGAATGAAATGTTTTGGCTTTATCTTATAATTTATATGGTGCTCAAATATGTAACGTAACATGCCGGCCTTCCACCCCCTACCCATGTAACAAAAGCGTAACGCTTCAGTCAGACGCCGCGATTTTCCTGGTTATTTCGTTAAACAGTGCCTTTTTCCCCATTTCTTTCAGTTTTGTTTGCTATTTAGAAGCGGAGAGCGCGGTGGACTCGCACGATCTGGGCCGGCAGGTGCACCGGTACGGTGGGGAGCCGGTGGGCGCCTTCCTCCCGCTGACCTCGGCCAAAATGAGCCCATCGGTGGCGCACGCGCTCCTGTACGATCAGACGCACGATAATCCCAGCATGATCAAGGTAGTCCAGTTTTTTTACACAATTATCATTAGCACCGTTTTATTTTTGGTGTTTTATTTGCAGAAACACTCGCTGGCCGATGTGCTGCCGTCGGCGGCGGCGGTCAGCATGGCCGATGCCGCTGCCGGGAGTACGCGCGGATACGACGAGCTGGTGCCGTTTGCGGTAAAGTGTCGGTTGTTTTTTACGTCCTATAGGTTTCTTACTAGGTTTGTGTCCATTTGTCTTTGAAAATTATAAAATATCTGTAGTTCAGTGGCGCTTAAGGAAGCCGTAAAAATTCTGGCTATGTACCTGTGTACAGAGTAGTTTTACCATTGAAAACAATACAAGTGCAAAAGTACGTACACACACAGACTTAAACGATTCTGATCGTAATATTTTTTTGAACCGGTTATAGGATTCCAACACTATTTCTGTATGCTCGTATATTTTATTACAAAATGTTCTGCGGTATTTTAGCTGGACATTGTTACGGAGAAGCGCTACTATCGCTCCTTGACCGACAAAGCCACTGATCACAGCCAAGTGGATCTCTCCAGCGGTTTGTTGGCCGTCCGGCGCCGATTGAATCATCTCCATCTGGAAATGGCCCAGAAAGGCTACCACCAGGTAAGTGCGAAGCTGGCCGCCCGTCTGCCAAATCGGCCATAAGAATCGTAGTAGAATTCTCTATATTTCGCATCATTTTCACAAATGGCCAGCTTGTAGTAATCTGGTGCAGCGTTTTTGGCAATCTGGTTTAGCGTTAGCGATTTATACAGACAGTCGGTACGAGTACAAAAGTAAAACTGTAATAGAATGGTAGGTGTTGTAGAGCAGTGGCAGAATTTCGCTCTGATGACCGCGTCAGTTGCAGAATATTAAGGTTTTCCGTTGGACGAAAAAATGTCAATATTCATAAAAAACATATTACTTTTTCTTATCTTTTAAAACTTTTCTTCACTTAGTGTCAGTAAATATGTAGTAATTATTCCTGTTAATTAAAATTTCCCAAGGCGGATAGTTTATGCGTTTCCAGTTAATTAATGAGTGGATAATTAATGTCCATAATCTTCTGCCTGTGATCCTTTATCCGTTTTGGTGCTTATTTTGTACTTGTATTAATTTGATGTCAATAATTATTTACTAATTATTCCTGTAATTTTTTCAGGGTAGATCATTCTTTTCAATATAATCTCTTGATAATTATTATTATTAATTTTCCAGGTTATATAATTTATAATTTGATTTTTTCTTTATATTCTGCGGTATGGCTGGAGAGTTTTGGTTGATTACAAAGGTCTTCGTGGATCAAATGGACGGCGACACGATGGCCATCACACGGCACAACCCTACCGATCACTCGGCCTACGTGGCCGTGCTGCGCAACGCCTTTCGCTCACCCCACATGGACGCTTTCCACCACGCTCCGGCACTGCGACCCCTGAGCATCGAAGGAAGCGTGGAAAGTATCATCCTGGAGGCCGGACTGGAATACACCGGGGAAAACAAGTTCGAGGATGATGCCAAATACATCACCGGGCTGAAGGAAGGTTATCAAGTGTATATGCAGGAAAACATTGGGTTTGAGAAGAGCCGCTATCTGGAGAGAGATCCCGAAATGCAGAAGAGCCAGGCCAAGCGGGATGTGCGCTTTGTGCATTTCCCGCCGGGCGCGGTGGTGGTTTTCAAGTGAGTGCGCTCCGATATTATGTCAGTATCGTGTGAGTGGATAGTGAAGAGACTGAAGACCTTATGAAGTAAATTGACCGAATATGGACCTAATTTTCAAGTAGTTGCTTGTTGATCGTGTCAGCGTTCGACATTTGTGAGATATAACGCTAAATATTTACTTCTTGTTGGCATTTTCGTATCCGTTAGTTTGGAAGTTTTGTAGAAAAGCGGCGGGAGTGGACGAAGTTGGAATTATTTGCTCGTTTCTTATATTTATGTAACAGATTATAGATTTTCTGTAATACTTACAATTTATTTTTGTTTTATTCTTTGCTTTTACGATCTTTTTCTTAATTTGATTTTTATTTGAAGGATAAACGGAGTCTGTTAAAATTGTTAGCTTATTGACGACATGAACAATTTTACAAGGCAACGATTATTACCTTTAGGCTGTTACTGCTTCTAGCAAGATATTGTAGAATAAAACTGAGCGAAATTTTTACAGCGTTATGTCTTATTTTTACGCGGTAGTGCCCACAAGGCGTGGACTCAGCGTTTGTACATAGTAGACTCTGTAGGTCCATGTTCGTGCTTGGTTAAAATTCTCGTCGTAGGTTATCCGTGGGATCTCCGACCGAAGCCATCACACAAATTAAAAACGCGGTGTCTGACGCACACTCTGTGAAATTGCAAGAGATTTGTCAGAACCTTACCGTGGCAGATTTTAACCGCGTCCTCTTCCGCACGAACGACGAAGAGGCGGACGATGGGAAAAACGGCGGAGCGTATTATATCGCACAGTTTGGAGCGCTCCCATACTGCGGACTTCAAGGTGTAAAACCTTTTCCTTTGAAAATAAAACCTTCTATACTACTTCTGCTAAACGCCGGAAGGACATTTCTGTTTGTGACTTGCTCGTAAAAGGGAACAGAGAATGGTAGAAGCAACGAATCTCCAGTTAAACCGCGCTAAATTCGATCGGATCGAAATTTGAAATTTCATTTTTATTTATTTCGTAATTTAAATTATGTTTCAGCATTCGTCACCGTTCTGGAGCGTCTACGCGCGCACCAAGACCTCGGTCATCCCTTCTGCTCCAATCTGCGCGCCGGGAATTGGATGATGGATTACATCACCGATCGGCTGCGCAATTATGAGTCGACTATTCCGGTATGTTTGGTAAACTAATGTTGTGTATATGAATTTTGAAGTTGGTTGTTTCCAGCTGGCCGATTGGTTTGGCGCCGTTTTCGAGCACGTCAAAGGACTCCCGCGCTATTTGGTCCCGCAGTACTTCGACCTGGTCGTCACCAAAGCGTACCGACAGATCGTCGATGTGGCACTGAATCGGATGGGAAAATTCGTCTCCAACGGATCCGAATTCACGAGGTACAAGATAATGCGGATGTTTTAAGCGGTTTTTGTCCTAATTTACGCTAAACTGTTGTGCGTATTGGGAATTATAACCTGTCGATTATCGTGTAATGTTACCGTGTCAGTCAATCAGAATAATTTGAGTTGTTATGAAAAGTTTCAGCTTTTAAAGGAATTGTTCAAGGTGGGCAGGCTAATTAGCAGCGTTGCTCCGTTGCCGCAGATCGACGTAGAAGACTGGCGTGCTGGCGGTTAAATAACGCGAATTTTCTTGCTTTTAACGATCCCTAACCGTAAAAGTACGTAGTGGTGCGAAATGCGAATCCATGATGGATTACATTTCGGTAATGATCTGCTGAATTTTTTCAGTAGATGTTAGCTGCATCAAAATTTCTCTGTTATTGGGAAATGATCTAGTTAATGTTTTTTTTTGTTAGTGGAACCTGCAGAGAATGATTACTGAATCTGCAGAGAATAATAGATTGGAAGCGGTATCGCCAACACTACAGGCCAGAAACGTGCGCAACAGTTTTGTTTTAAAAAGCGACTCTCAATCTAGATACAAGGAGGGAATGCGATTTGTGTACTGGGTACAATTCCCGGTCAGGATAGCGTTGTGGAAGTGCTTCTGTTATAAATTTTTTTTACTACTTAAGTTGGGTACTTGTTCCGTGATACTTATTAAAAGTATTACTTCAATCACATTGGGCTCTGATTGAAGTGTTTATCGCGCATTTTCTCACTATGAACGCAAAGTACTGCTTTCAGATTTTACCGTTCCATTAATATTTATCATCTCCGTGCAGAATTTAGTAAATGACAACGGCAGTAAACTGCGTTATAATTTCTCCAGGTTTTTGCGCTCAGTAATTTGACTAATGCTCAGTAATTTGAGTAGTGCATAAGTCATGCATCAGTAATTTGAGTAGTGCATAAGTCATGCATTTGTAAGGAACAGTAATGCTGGATAATACTAGTATATATCTGGTGTTTGTATTTGTATACACTGCTGTATTCTTGTTTAAAGCTTGATCTGAAATGCTTTGTACGCTCACTATATTGTAGAATTGTTGTTATTATTGTGAATGTGAGAGTGTCTGCTACTTCGAATTGGGCTCTGCCCTGAATGTGTGCGGACGTTAAAATTTCAACTAAACCTAATCTGTGTATCCGGTTATTTATTTTCAGATTAATGGCGCTGGGAACGTACCAGATGTGCGGAATTGTTATGGCCAGCAAGCTGCCGGCCCTCTCGCCATCACTGTCCCCACCGGCGCCTAAGAAAATCAAGAATCCGGCGAACGGTCAGGATGTGGATGGGGCGGTGAGCCTGGCGGCCGGTCTGCCGCATTTCGCCGTCGGATGGGCGCGCAACTGGGGCCGCGACACGTTTATCGCGCTGCGAGGATTACTCATGCTGACGGAACAGTTTCAGGAAGCGAGGTAAGCTCTCCATCCTCTTGTCTCCTTAAAGGAATGCCGAATTCCCCTAAACACTGAACCATTTTCGCGTTGAAAAGTTTTTTGTCTGTGGTGCATGTTTGATGTTTGTCCCTTAAGTGCGACCTTCGACAAGTTTTAATCAGATGCACACAGCCAAGTATGTGAGGCGAATTACGTAGTACGGTGGCGGTAGGAACGGTCTGTATAAAGCAGTTACTGTACATTTACGGTTGTCTAAAACTGTGTCGAATGAAATCCGCGTAGACATTTGAAAAATTTAAAATATATTTTTCCTGCGACTAAACCTCCGACTTCTTCATAGATACATCATCTTGGCCTACGCGGCCTGTCTCCGGCACGGTCTGATCCCCAATCTCCTGTCGGAAGGCACCGGGGCCCGCTACAACGCCCGCGATGCCGTCTGGTGGTGGCTGTACTCCATCCAGCAATACGTGCGGTTGGCGCCCAACGGCGAGGCGATTCTGAAGGATGTAGTCTCCCGGATGTACCCGCAGGACGACAGCCTCCCACCCAACCTGGACAGGCGGTAATCGTGCCTCTTTTGATATCACCTGTGCCACTGCAGCCTGTTTTGTCTGCTCTTGAATAAAGTTGTAATTAAACTTAACAATTGAAATAAATTAAGAATGTAAATCAAAATATCTGCACTAAATTAAGAAATGATATACATCAAATCACAATAAATTGAACTAAACAATAAGAGAATAAATTTCAAAAAAAAAATAACTTGACTGAAATAAAACCAAATCAACATACATTGTACTAAAAATAAATGGATGACGGCTGTATGGTTATGTGCAGGATCAGCCGTTAGCGGAGGTGATGCAGGAAGCTTTGACGAAACATGTGCAAGGCGTGAATTTCCGCGAGCGGAACGCCGGGTGGAATCTGGACCGGGACATGTGCTCGGAGGGCTTCAACAACGGCATCGGGGTGGACCTGCAGACGGGCTTCGTCCACGGGGGTAATCCCCACAACTGCGGCACGTGGATGGATAAAATGGGCAGTTCCGAACAGGCCGGCACGCGCGGCAAACCGGCCACGCCCAGGTACAGAACTTCAGGCTTTTTTTACCATTCGGTTTGTCAAATATCGTGTTGTAGGTTTTCTAGCACGAGTGAGTTTCGCATAGTTTCAGTGGTTTTTGTTTTTTTTTAAATTTACTTGAATATTCAGAATATAAGATATTTTATAATCTTCTTTACGTGGCCTGAATTTGTCGTCCTTTAATTCGAATTGTCTTCGTAGGGTGGTATGACTGCAGGGCCTTTTCTTGATTAGTTTATTAGTTTCATATCGTAGAGTATTGGCTAGCTCCTCCTCCTTCTTATCCTCCTAGCAAAATACAGGCAGCCTGTCAAACGCGACAATTAAACTCTGCGTGGTAATTCACTGTAAAATATTGTAAAAATCCTTTTTAAACAATTCACTATTCGTAAGTGGATGGTTTAGTGAACTCGAGTGGCAATTGGTTCGATTTGAAAAAACTTTCTGTAATCTCTTTGTAAACATTCAATAACTAAATACTACGTTCAGTGCCTAATAGGTACATTCAATTTTGACTACATTCAGTAACTAAATAACACTGTTGCATTCTTCGCAGAGATGGATCGGCGATTGAATTGGTGGCTTTATGTTACTCCACGGTGGATTGGTTGGCGGAGATGAGCACCAACGGGAAATATCCGCACGACGGCGTGAAAATGCAAACCAAAGGTGACTTTTCGATGCTTTGCTTGTTTTTACCAGTGCTCAGTGAATTTTTAATGACTCTGTTGCAGGCGGACAAGCGAAGACGTTGAGTTTCCTCGACTGGCGCCAAATGATTAAGAATCATTTTGAAGAGAGATTTTTCGTCGGTGCGGATCGAGCGGGAGAATTTATTCGCCGGGATTTGGTGAATATCGCGCCGATTTATAAGGACACGTATGGATCCTTCCATTTCTGGGCGGACTATCAGCTGCGGCCCAATTTATGCGTCGCCATGGCGGTGGTAAGTAAAAATATTAAAAATAAATTACGGTTTTAAAATTTAATTAAGAAGGAACTTTTTCAGTATTTAAAACATAATAGCCTGCAAAAGTTGACCGCGTTTTTGCTTGTTGTTACTTAAAACAAATTTGTTGTTACTTACTGTGTACTCGTTTAACCCGCGGCTCTCACTGAAATTTTTGGTTTGTTTTGGGAATCACAAATTCCTTTTTTTTGCAAAATCCAAATCTTTGGTTTAGTTGGGATATTGTTATTTGTAGGCGCCGGAGATGTTCGATGCGGGTCACGCGTGGCAAGTGTTAGACATCGTGGAAGAGCATCTTCTGGGTCCGCTAGGTTTGAAAACTCTCACACCGAAGTAAGCGCGCGGATTTTGAGTTGTTTAGAGCGATTTTACACGGTTACTTTCTATCGCACTCAGGGATTGGGCGTACGATGGCGATTATGACAATGACGATCACAGCAGTAATGCGAAACGGGCGCACGGCTTCAACTACCACCAAGGACCGGTAAGTTTCCTTGCTCATCGACTTTCGCCGATTTAAACTAATGTTTTTATCAGGATCTCTGTTATACGCCCTCATGTTTCACGAATAATTAAACTTTTTGTAGTGGACCGGTATATGGTACCAAGTTTGTGTACAGAGTACATGTACGAAAATCTTCACTTTCGTGCACTTCCAGACACCTTTATGCTTTGTTTTATGACATGCTGTACGCAGGTTAATTGTATACACAGGCGTGAAAACTTTTTGGAATATTCGTACAGCCATAACTCTCGAACCAGATGTTGCGCGCACAAACGGGTTGTCACGCCTGTGTAGGCTGCAGAATGTCACAAAAAAGCAGAAGTGTTTCGTGCATGTACACGAATTTGGTACCATGTACCGGGCCACTTCCCTTAATAAAATTTTCGTAATTTTGTTAAGTAGTACAGTATATATTTTGTTGAAACCACGACATGACATTGTTAAAATCTTCCTGGTATGAATTTCAGTTATTGGTTAATCGCGAAGTCGTAAATCAGTAACACCCGAAATGATGACAAGGCAGTAGAACCCTTAGAAGAACATATACAATATTGTATATGTAGGACTAAATGGTCGCATAGCCCCATACCCAGCATTCTGTACGCAAGCGGTGCAGTGCACTTGTACGAAACGGATATTTTGAACTCAGTCGTACAGTGCACTGCGCTGCATGCGTACTGAAAATCTGGAGATGTTGGGTATGCGACCGTTTCGTCTTAAACTGTAGTCGGTGTAGTGTATGGGCAGTATGTAAGTCGGTGTAGTGTATGGGCAGTATGTATTACCGCATCATCAAAAAGGCTGAAACTGCCACTCTGAGCAGCATGTTTGCATATTTGTTTTCAGTGCAGTTACTCAAATCAATTGCAGCTTTTTATCTCCAAAATCTTCAATGATCACCGTTACTTTTTCAGGAGTGGGTATGGCTGATGGGATACTTCCTGCGCGCTAAATTAATCTTCGCCGGCAAACAGCAGAACGCGGAGATTTTAAGCAAAACCAGGGCGTTTGTGGAGACGGTGCTGGGCCGGCATTGGTTACATGTGCGCACCTCCGACTGGCGCGGTCTGCCGGAGTTAACCAACGCCGGGGGAGCCTATTGTCCCCACAGCTGCCACACCCAGGCCTGGAGCATGGCCAGCATCTTGGAAGCGTTGCATGCGCTGCAAAACGAGAAATAAAATGTTTTATTCGTGTGATTTATCCCCCGTGTTGCTGCTCCCTGTTCAGGCGATACTCGCATGCTTTCTCGATAAACTAGAGATTTCTTCGATTTAACGGTGCTTGGGTTTAATTTATTCGTGTGTTATGAATTTGTGCTTCTTGTCTTTTCAAGGTTTGCAATTTTCAAAGTTTGTTATCGTCGCTTTAATCAAGTGATTGATAACTTTGTGGTGGATACTGGTTTGCGTATGGGAAGGTCACTTGTTTGTTGTGCTGCGATTTCGGCGAGGTGTTCGCGCCACAAACTGCGGAATAAATTCTGATTATGCTAAGTGTCGAAAAAACTATCAAAAACACAACAGTTTTTACTGCTGTAAATGAAGTATTTATTTTACGCTTCAGATATTATAATCTTACAATGTCTTGGGTATAAAGATTTTACGAAAACTGCAAGCACCTTCCATATGAGTTACATTTCACTGAAACTGAAGTTAACTCACCGCTGCTTAATGTTGGGGAGGCATGTCGGTCAATGTTGCTTCGTTTTACCAAATGGTTCTAGTACACCGATTGTTTCTAAATTTGTGCCTCACTGCCAAAAAAAATTGTTTTATCACATTTCTAACGTATAACTTTGGATTTATGTGCTGTATTATTATTTGAAACCAGGGCGATAATCTTATTACGTATTAAACGATGTTGCCAGCCACTTTACGGAAGTACGAGGTATTTTACGTTGCTCCATTCATGATTTGGAGCAACGAAATTTAGATTTTCGGAAATCTATCTTTACAGGAGTTTTGAATTTATTCTGACCGGCCAGTTTTAGCTGAATTTAATTTTGTTGCAGTCATTTAGAAGCACTCGTACTGGCCGATGTGTTGCCGTCGGCGGCCGCGGTCAGTATGGTTTTTTACTGGGTTTGTGTTTTTCTGACCTGTACGTGGCATTACATTTGTCTTCTATTCATTTTTCTTTAAAAAATTGTATATGAATGTATTGCCTGATTGCAAATACTAAAGCCAATATGCGACGCGTATGTGCAGACATACTTTCGCGTTTGTGTTCACTACTGGCTGCGGTATCGCTTCCAGCCACTGTTGTATTACCGCTACCATGAGAACTACCAGCCAATTTGGAGGTCTCGTACAGCCACTGCCTCAAGCGAGACACCGGTCCATAACCCGGCTCAAACTGCTCTTCCTCCGCTGCCTTAACTCTCTGCGGTCGCCTCCTTGGTCCGGAACGGAAAGTATCCCTCATTGGGAAGCGCCGATTGAAGTCTGAACGTTTGTCTAAATACCAGTTGCCAGTATTGGCTAATTCACGATCGTTGTCCGAGGACGAGAGATCCGACAGCGCTGACGATCGGCGCCGACTATACAAACGGTCCCGTTGTGGCGGTTATTCCTATGTTTCTACTGATTATGACTGCTGTGTTTCTTCCATTGTTTCTTTTATTGTTTCTTCCATTGTTTCTTTTATTGTTTCTCCCATTGTTTCTCCCACTGTTTCTCCCACTGTGTCCCTTTTTCAATTTTCATGTTTCGTAAAGTATTGTTTGTATTGCTTTGGTTGTATGTTTTACGTTTCTTAACAGAATTTTTTGGTGTCGGACACCAACATTTTTTGGTGTTGGACACCAAAATTTTTTGGTGTTTTCAATTGCAGATTTTTTGGTGTTGGACACCAGACTTTTTTGGTGTTTGTGTTTCTTAATTTTTTGGTGTTGGACACCAGAATTTTTTGGTGTCGGACACCAGAATTTTTTGGTGTTGGACACCAAAATTTTTTGGTGTTGGACACCAGAATTTTTTGGTGCTTGTGTTTCTTAATTTTTTGGTGTTGGACACCAGAATTTTTTGGTGTTTTCAATTGCATATTTTTTTGGTTTTTTGTTTCTTAATTTTTTGGTGTTGGACACCAGAATTTTTTGGTGTTGGACACTAAAAAAACACGCAATTGAGTGCACCATGCACCAGTCCGTATGGTACTGTAGCCATGTGAAATTCAGCCGTTCGTGTTCGACTAGATGCCAGTTGCATGTGACATAATGCAATTGCGTGAATGCTGCCTGTTGAATAATAAAAATGTGTGTTCCGTATTCACATAATTTAAAGACACAGGTCGCACTGTATAATTGTATACTTTCGGTTTCTTGTGTATTTCCTTTTTAGTAACATCACAACAGTGTTCGGAGTTACTGTGCAAAATACTAGGTTTTCATCCAAAAAAAGCGTTACACTCAGTTTCGGTTATCGGTCATTACAAACTGCACAATAACGACACTAATAATAGAAGTATGCATACCGCATGCATACACACGTGAATAGAAGCGCTATCATAATTCATATAATTAACAAACTAAAGAGGATCATCACAGTGCGTTCAGATCGGTGTGCACATCAATGAAGTAAAGTTAAAACAGAAAAAACAGTGGATGACCTAGGTACAGTGGGTGTTACGGTACATGATCGCCCATGCGGTCATGGCCTTTTCCAGGAAGGTCAGTCCGTTCTTGATCTGGAGCTGAATCAATTTCTGGGCGATCGCATGCGGTAGATCACGGATCGACGGGTGGATAAAGAGTTCTTCAAAGCGGTTCCGCAATACAAGGTGCTCGCAAAGAATGGTCAGCTTTTTCGCGATGACCACCATGGGGTCCTTCGGATTCAGAGGCTTTGGCAGACGGACTGCTTTGTACTCACCGTATGCGGCGGTGGCAGATGACCGATTGCAGCTGAAGCAGGGCGGTTAAGTGCAGCACACCCTTTCACGGGACGATAATATTTAAGCGACCTTTGAAATTCGAATAATGTGAAACCTAAATATTGAAGTTTTTTTGTGTTTTATGTAATTATTTTCGATCGATCCGTGCGCAGTGCGAACCAGTGTGTTGTCGTGATACTCCTTGATTTTATATAATATTATTCTCTTAACGGAGCCCAGACGCCGCTTTGTATTGCGCGTACCTCGGTGACAGCCCAATGTTTTCCATTTTTATTGACCTTAGTTCAACTGTTGGATGTGGTAAATACATTCCCTGATTTTAATCTGTCAAGTCTGCTTTATTCAAGATCACAATAAAACGATAAAAAACTAAGAAAACACTGACTCGTAAAAAATATACAAAATCACGGAGCCGTGCTCATGTACTTCTCGGCATAATGCAAGAATTCAAAGAACACTTCCACGCAAATGAGCGCAATAATCATCAGCTCTAATCGAACATGGTGCTGGTTGTTCAGATGGTCACGCAACAGCTCTACCAAAGAATAACAGTGGTTAAGTTTTTCGTTGAAAATGCGTGTACGCCGACCGATGTTAAGATACGTGCACATGGCACGGTACAGTGCTTCCAAATCTTCAGCTTCCAAATCTTCACGATCCCAGTAGAAATCAGGTGGATCCAGCATATTCGAGCCCAGATTAATGGAGTGCCGGAGGAAGAACAGCTCCCCTGTTTTACGCAGCACTTGATCTTTCGACAAGCTAATCACGTCCGTTTGTTTTGATGTCCTGTTGACGTGACCACGTACAAGTCACAACAATATGAGAATCATACTAATTTCTACAATGCACAAATTTATTACGAAGCAGTAATTACGATTCTATTTTGAAGCAGTAGTGGCAGTAGTGTGCAGTAATAGCCGCGATAATTATGAATGGAATACAGAAAGTACAATAATTTTGAATCTATTATTGTGCTCACCTCAGCGACGTTTTCGATGGATCCCACGTATTCTTGCAGCATAGCCTCATAAACAGCCAACTTAACTGCAAAAAAAATTAAATAATTTAATAGTTTAAAAACATTTTCAACTGAGAAATCGAAAATGGTAGTCGTGAGAACGATAAACATAAAGAATTGTGAACGCTTTACCAAATAACTGCGAACACAATAAATAACACTTACGCTACGCACCAGAAAGCACAGTGGCGTCGGAAAAGGCGTATTTGATCAGACTGAGCAACTGGGGATGGGCAACCTCCATGGATTTCCGCAGCAGAATATGGCCGTCGGATGACAGTTTGGCAGCGTCTGCTGCCGACGGGACTCCTGGTCGACCACGGTACTCGTCACCAGGGCCATCCGTAAAACAGTAGTCCAGAAATTCCGCTTCATCCTGGACAATAGACTCTGTAAACAGATAAAAAACAAAGATAAAAAAACAGATAATGTAAACAGATAAAAAAAAACAGATAAACACTTCACAAAAGCGAAAAAAAAACATAAAATACGTTATTAACGGCGAGCGAGAGCCGTTAATACGGAATTCCCTTGAATTTCCATAGTAAGGTTGGCATAATATTCAACACGATAAGATAAAGCAATCGCCTTATCGGCTGTCGCTGTTTAACATACGTGAATACGGTTTAACGGCGTACTGCTGGAGCACTTTTAAAAAAGAGGCCGCATCGTCCTTCTTCACATTCCAGAAGACCACGGATCCTTCGCTGAAGATAAACACATCGCCCTCATTAGTGGGAGTCCGTCCGGAAGGCGGCTTCGACTGCTCGTAGAGTTTGTAGTGGACTGCATCTTCGGATAGCTTTACGGTTAGAAACGAATCAGCCAGCTGATACCTGCAAAAAATGGACCCTATTGATATCCCGCAATTGTTGCTAAGCAATGCCCGTATGATAGCACCGGAAGTACAAACTCTAGAGAAGCAAGTAGTATAGAATGCTGATTATTCATAGAATGCGAAAATCGCAGCACGTCAAATGGAAAAACACGTTAATTATTACTGTACTGTACTGGCATTTCTGCGACTTTACCCAAAAGCAAAATTAACTGGGAAATAGCATTTTTTCATGAATGCAGAAGTGCCATAAAAAATGCACCCATATTTTATTGACGGCTCAATTTATGAGTAACTGATAAAATAACACCGATAAATTATAAACAATTCTGGCAGCTTAAAAGATGTAAAGACTATTTATTAAGCATTTCCTGCCAGACTTACTGGTGTAAACGAAGAAATGAGTAAGTCCCTGCCTTCTTCGGTTTGCGGATCATACACCTTGAATTCCTCACCGAAATCACAGGACACTCCGGCGAAAATGCCACACGCACCCACACTAATAAACGGGATGTGTTTACTCCCGTTCACACGTAGTGATTCATTGATAGCGATCCACAGCGATAAGGGAGTCTCAGTGGCGATCACACAGCTGAAGTGCTTTAGTAGGTCTTCAACGGTATCCTGCGACAAATCATGCTTGAAGATCTCCACCGTTACGCCGGGCTTCAGTTCCGTACTTTACTAAGGCATGCGTCCAATCGCAGTCGCTCCTCACATCGTCTTCGGTAATGTAAAAGTTTCTAGCGAGATCCATCCAGTGGATTCGACTCCTGACGTCTAACGAGTACGTAGCGACTCAAATATCCTAAAGTGTAACTTGCGAATTACAGGCATGGACTGCTGTCGCTGCCGTATATGGTGGCTGCCGCGCTTAAAAGCAGCTTTTAATTGTGTGACACAAGGTACATGCGCCATGTGGACAGTTACGTGGACAGAATTAGAAATCGACACGAATGTTGCCGTTGCCCGTTTTACACGCAGTTTCATATACTATAGATTTCTCCGTCGTAGACGTTTGACTAAGTAAACTGTACTGTTATTTTCGTTTAAATTATTGGAAATCACCATTACTCTCTGCAACGGCGTGATGATTAATAAAAGTTGTACTTGCAGTTGGTTTCGCCGTTAGTTCGTTACGTGCCGTGACGGTTTATCTGCGTTCTTGATTGATAACGATTATGGATTCAGGAGAACCAGACGGATTAGCGTACCATTCGGGAGTTCGGGAATGTCGTGTTATTCACCGGAAACTAGATTCTGCGGACCCCGGGCGCTCACTCATGCAAATCTTCTACGATGAGTGGCAGCTGCACCAGAGAGCGGGGATCGACTCAGTTTTCACCAAGGTATGTTTAATTACGAGTAATTTGATTTACCTGTTTGTGTGACTGTAACACAGAATAAGGTTTACGCTGTCGGACTCTGTTCAGTTGTTTTACCGTATTCAATCCAAACAGGTTGTTATTGTGGGTGACGACGGTCCCAAACTGCGGTTCACCCACGAGGAGATCTACAGTGATCCTGCCTTTATAAAATACCAACAAAGTGGCAAATTTGTGTATAGTGAACGTGTGCTAAAAGACAAAAAAGAGCCGAACGGATTAAGAGTAATGTTGAATTCCAAGATCAAGAGGCTGGACCCGAACAAACCTTGGGCAGATGTTGTGAAGAGTCAGGACGATCTGTACGCTAAACTGAAGACTGGTTCTCATACGGAGAGGAAGGCTGATGCGGAGAGCAGGGAAAACTCGGCCTTTCGGGCTAGTGCGCCGGCTGAGATGGTCCAATGTCTGGATCTGATGCGTGTTGCGGAGAAAGGGGATTTGCCCTTTATTTACGGGCACAACGGCGTCGATTCCATTCCCATGGTAAGGATACGTGTTGTCCCTTAACATTTATAAGCTCCATTTGCTCTACGGTTTAATTGACAACCTCCAAGCTGACTGTTTAGTATCGCTGACAGAGGAAATTACACTACTTGCTTCCTTCGATTTCGACATAATCGTTACCAATTATTTAGAAATGAGTTATTACAGTTTCGTAATAATTTAATTACGGCAATAATTTGATTACGGATCAGTGCGTCGCCCGACTGCATTTGTCCTGTTTGTTTAGCTACTTACAAGTTTTACGCAGGCCAAAGTCCACTCATTTGTCTTTATTGCATTAACGTTAATACTTTCATCGTATCAGTAGCTAAATTAAACCGTGTTTATTTATAGTAGAAAATATTTCAGCCAAGTTAGCCAACTGCCGTTGAATATGAAAAATTTTTAAAGTTCTTCTGCTAGATCTTATACAAATAAATTTTGGTAGCAGGGAGCATTTGCGTAAGTACATATGTGCAGTCTGTAATAAAAAATTTACGTTTTTACTAGGGATATGTAATCGGAATATGTACCATCTACAGTGAAATCCTTCAGTATTAATTATGCCAGTTATGCCAGTTCACTTACCTCGCATTTGCAAGTGATGCAGGGATTGTTGGTAATCTGTGAAACATTCACAATAGCACCCTCGCTGGAGCAGTATACCATTGCCGGTTCTTCTATAAGGTTTAATTTCAAATTTTAGCGGGACATGCGAACAAATTCGTGCATAAACACAGCGTACGCACGGAATGTGCATCTTGTAACCGGTATACCATTTAATCTAATATTCAACTGCCGATAGATGTGCTGTCTTACTATGTCCAATAGGCTGTCGGTCGCGCTTCAATTACCAGTAGCCAACGCTGTTAACGTAAACGCTCACGCAAATGACAATCTAGTCGCACGTAACTGTTTTGTCTGACCACATTTTGGTTAAGTTAAATCTATTGAAATTTCTGCAGTCGTAATCAGAATAATATGTACATGCCTGTTTATTTCACATATTAATTGCAGGTAAAACCGTTTCCTATCCCGTGTATTTTCAAGGAATCAAGTAGAGTGGACGGTTATGATGAGGATATGGATGGGATCACTACCTGGGGAGTGTACCACAGTACAGCGCGCAGCGCTACCGGTTGCCATACGGAGGATTTCAGATTTGGATCCTACAACATTGTATTGCAGGCAGATGAACCCAAGTGGTGGATCGCCATGTACGCTCACGATCAATCCAAAGTGGAAAAGGTTGTTTCCGGTGAGGCACATATCGTACAACGTCTATAGATTTATATATTATACTAATAATGTTTCGAAATTGTTTCTATTTAATAGGCTGGTACGTTAAGGGGCTAATTTCTTCAGCCTCTAAGTCGAAAACTGACAGTCGACAATCGAAAGATGATCAGCCGAAAGATGATGACGTACCTTGTAACCAACTTATTACTGGCCATTATCATCGGATGGCTATCCCTACCGATCCCGATAAACTACTAGATCAGGATATTGCGTTACTCTGGGCTAGCCAGGGGCCTGGAGAGATTATGATGGTTTCTTCAAATGTTGTACATTATGTATTCCAAGCGGGTGGCAATGTTTGCATGGCGATAAACTTCGCCGATATTCATATGGTGCCGAAGATGGTGTTGTTTACCGGCATTTATGAGCAGTGCCCGCATGATTTAGATGACACCAGGAAGGCCGAGAAAGACGTCAAACGACATCGAAAAGCACGATCACATGGAATAGAGAGCCACTATACTGGTCGCCGGATGATCGCGTACCTGAAAACGATGGAGGCGGAACATGGCGGGTAACTTCCGCCAGTCGGGACCATGCCGTCTGTATGGCCAGACTACATTGACCCAAAATTTTACGAAGGATCTGATATTATTCCCATTGGTCCAGAGGGTATCAGTCTGGAGCAGTTCCAACCGGTTGTCGCTCGTGTCCCGTTGGAGTGTCTGCGATTTGGTCAGCCGATTAAAGGCATCCGCGTGCGGCTTGTGCAGCCGGCGTTTGTGTTTTGGCTCTGTACGCAGTTGGCGAACCCGGGTGAAGGACAGTATACTGTCGACTGGACGGTATGTGGTGTAGCGGACTGCTCTACGGATAAGCACGCCACTGTAAGATGTATGCTGGAAGCCGGCAAGATCGACGTCTACGTCACGGACGGTACGGTAGTAATTAGTATTTAGTATACAAATAGATGTACGGATATGTGTAGTAAAGTGGCGTTTAAAAGAGCAATCGTTTTGTTATGCTCGTATATTTACCTAATATAAAATGTGTTGCGGTATTTTAGCTGGATATTGTAACGGAGTAGCGCTACTATCGCTCATTAACCGACAAAGCGACGGATGACAGTCAAGTGAGTCTCTCCAACGGTGTATTGGCCGTCCGGCGCCGATTGAGCCAACTCCAGCCGGAAATGGCCCAGAAAGGCTACCACTAGGTAACTACGCAGCTGGTACGCGTTGCTACATCCGCCATAAGAATTATGCAGTAGAATTCTCTTTGTTGCGCAGCGTTTTCAAAAGTATGGCAAGTAATGGTCTTTGGCTTTCTTGTTAGCGTCAGCGATCTTACTCATCTTAGTCCGACAAAAAGTGTAGTACCATTGTAGGTTAATTGTCGGTGCTGTAGAACAGCGGCACGTCTTTCCATTGAGGCTCTGTTAGCTGCTTGTTACTGTGACAGCTGGCGAACAAAGGCTCACGATAGTTAGAGAAGGCTTTATTGTGATAGCAATAAAGTGAGGAACCAAACACAAAGGCTCGAGGTGCGAGCAGTATCGTGAAAGTACAGTGAATGATATGCTATTGAAACAGAATGTACGGCACATCGAGCCAAAGCATGGAAAAAGCCTGATGCGGCACTGGGCAGATCCAACACGAGCGAATCGAACGCTGATAGGCCGAGATGTGGAAGTGGTGTGGCTCCGCCTACATCGAGGCCGGTGATTGGCCGAGACGTAAGTCTGGGCGGAAAGCTGCCTGAGTCGAGGCCGATCTGGCGCTCGACAGCGAGTGCGACTCGGTGTGAGTCAGCACACCGGAAGCGGGACTGTCGCTGGCTGCCATACTCGTAGGCTGCCATAGCGACTGGCCCAACATTACCAAAGTCTCCTGTCGTATCATGTATGTACTAAAGAAATTCCAATATTATGAAAATATTAGATGCATTCGTTTTGCATCTTGATACTCTTATGCTGCATGTTATACATTTTATGTGCTTAATTTCAGTATTTTTAAAATATTTGTATGCATTCACATTAATACAATAGGTGCTATAAATTACATATTTTACTTAATGGCATTATTTTTGTATCACTCATATGCATTCGTTTTACACCTACATATGAATTCTTATACTCGTACGGTCGTATCTTATCTGTCGTATATAAATTTCAGTTCACTTATTGTTGGTATTTGGTAATTGGTATTATCATTAATTTTCCCGGTTAGATTATTTTCGTTGACGTTTTTTTCGTTGATTTTCTCCCGTATCGTTCGGCAGTTGGTCTGATTTATAATGGTCTTCGTGGATCAAATGGACAGCGACACGACGGCCATCACCCGGCTCAACCACACCGATCACTCGGCCTACGTGGCCGTGCTGCGCAACGCCTTCCGCTCGCCCCACATGGACGCTTTCCACCACGCTCCGGCTCTCCTACCCCTGAGCATCGAAGGAGTTGTGGAGAGTATTATCTTGGAAGCCGGACTGGAATACACCGGGGAAAACAAGTTCGAGGATGATGCTGATGTTCGAGGAAGTATTACCGGGTTGAAGGAAGGTTATCAAGTGTACATGCAGGAGAGTATTGGGTTTGAGAAGAGCCACTATCTGCATGGAGAGGGATCCCGAGATGCGGAAGAACCAGGCCAAGCGGGATGTGCGCTTTATGCATTTCCCGCCCGGGGAGGTGGTGGTTCTACATTGAAAAAAACTTCTGCACTACTTGTGCAAAATGCTGAAGAAGACCTGACTTGTGTTAGGAACGGAAGAGGATAGCAGAAACAACTGAATTAAAAAATTCTATGAAAACGCAGTATATTAAATCGGATTTAAATTCTGGTACTTATTTAATTCCGATTCATTTCATAATTTCCAATAATTGTTTCCGCATTCGTTACCGTTCTGCGGTCATCCGTTCTGCTCCAGTCTACGCTCCGGGAATTGGATGATGGATTACATCACCGATCGGCTGCGCAGTTACGAGTCGACTACTCCGGTATGTATGGTAAACTAATGTTGTTTGTCGGTGGATTTTGAAGTTCGTTGTTTCCAGCTGGCCGACTGGTTCGGCGCGGTTTTCGAACACATCAAAGGACTGCCGCCTACTCGGTCCCGCAGTACTTCGATCTGGTCGTCACTCAAGCGTACCGGCAGATCGTCGATGTGGCACTGAATCGGATGGGGAAACTCGTTTCCAGTGGATCCGAATTTACGAGGTAAGCAGTGCGGAATGGGAATGGTTGAAGTGGTTTTTTTTTCGTGTAGTGTTATTAGTGCACCAGTAATGTAACAGTTTCCTTTGTAGATATTCATTCGCTGTAAAGTTAACGGAGCAAGGGTAGTGGACTGGCACAAACTTCAGGAATCCCATTGAGGATCAAAGTTTGGTAGTATGCCACGAAATTTACAAACAAGTTTCTACCAAGTGTTTAAAAACAAACGTTTTAATCCCTTAAAAAAAATCATGGTTCTATTTAATTCAATAACACGATAACAATATCAGAATCTATTTACGGCTAAACAAAACAACATTTCAACGCCCAACGGTACCGATTACTGAAGCAGCTTTACCACGTTGAACTGCAAAAGAGATTTTCTGTTTCAAAAACTCGGGACCACGAATCTCGCCGGTTTGTAGCGAAATCCTCTTCCCAATCTCGTTAACAAATCGCTTCGCCGATGTACCAAAACTACCGAATGTTTCAAAGCCGACAGCCGTAAACTCGTATCGCCCCGACAGAAAGCTGTATTTTCTTGCTTTCTCGGCTTCGACATGGTCTGCTGCCGCTCCGGCCTTAACACTGGTCTGATCCAAATACGACGGTAATACTGGTATCAACACCAGCAACATCTCCCGCCAAACACAGTTCCCTTGGGACCAAGTGGTGATGCCATCGGGAAGTGCTTCGTTTTCATGGTAAATACCACTAGTTCCAGTTCTTGCGTGTATGCCTGCTGAACCTAGAGCCCGTCGCAAGATGTCATCGATGCAGTCGTACGTGTCTGGGCCGTCTTCTCGCGGAAATTTTGCAGCTCTATTCATGGTGACCGTCTGCAGCAACGCCGCTTCCGCATTTGCACTGGTGATCGAATGTTTATTTGCAGGTTGATGGCATTGGGACGTACCAGATGTGCGGCATCGTCATGGCCAGCAAGCTGCCGGTCCTTTCTCCTTCACTGTCCCCACCGGCGCCGGCGAAAATCAAGAACCCGGCGAACGGGCTGGATGTGGATGGGGCGGTGAGTCTGGCGGCCGGTCTGCCGCATTTCGCCGTCGGTTGGGCGCGCAACTGGGGCCGCGACACCTTCATCGCGTTGCGAGGACTAACTACTCTTATTGACCGAACAGTTTCAAGAAGCGAGGTAAGCCCGCTATCCCCATATCTTCTTAAAGGAATGTCGAATTTCGCTACACATCAAAAATCGTTTTGAAAAGTATTTATTTGTGATGTATGTTTTTCCCTTTAAGTACGACCTTCGACTATTTTTAATCAGTGATGCACAGTGCACACAGTCATTGGTGGAGGTGAAAGATGTAGTACGGTGGCAGTAAGGACGGATCTGCATAAAGCAGTTACATTTACCGTTGTCTCTACTGCGTCGAATGAAATCGGCGTAAACATTTAAAAAAAATATTTTTCCTGCAACTTAGTAGCTTCACGTCCGTCTTGAATCTAAATCACTATGGTATTCGAAAAAATATAATGTGATCTGGCAGCGTTCTGCTCGGCGCAACACGTCCATAGACGCCAATGGAATTTTTTATGCTGCGCTTACTCTGTACTCTTCGTAAGTGTTAGAGGCACGACAGCCTGCGTGATAGATACGCCACTTTGCGTATGCGCATCACTGCACACATGCTGATTCGCCCTCTCTTGTACGTACGTGAGTGGCTGCACTGCACTCTCCGCCTAGCGGATACACCGCGGGCGCACTCACTGAGCATACTTGCTCTCTCGCTCCTCTCTCGCTGTATGACTCGGCGCTTATACGCTCGCGTTGGATACGAGTCCAGTCTGCGCACTCACATTCCATGTGTCTGGACAGCGTGACGCCGTTGCCGCCAGCACATTCTATTCTCTACATTTCATTACGCGTTAGAACTCGCTCGCAGCAACTTGACTTGCTGATTTCTGCCAGACATTAGTCCATTACATCAAGACACCTTCCCACTTGTTACCGAATTGGCTGTAAAGATCAAAGTCCATTGAGATAAGCGCAGCAGCTGGGATTGGCGATATGGAGTATGACACACATACAACTTCCAAAACGTTATGCCGAAATGAAAAGCAGGTCCCGAGCTGCTTTTCATTTCGGCATTGCACTCTCGCATCAGTGTCTGCACGCTTTACATGAATGAGCGCAAGCAGATTAACTTCATGGTGTGTTGGTTTTAAAATAGACCAGTTTAATAAACTGTGGAATACTATTGACAAAGAAATTAACTGACCCTCGTTTTTACAAAATTTGATTTTGTCATATACTGTAATACTGTTGATGGCCAAAACAATTAATCCAACGGTGCGAACTATAATGCCATCAGGCATTCTTGTCGGAATCTGTCATCGTCCAGGCGGGACAAAATAAGTCGAAGAAAATTAGTACTTTTCGGCACCGTTAAACGGGGATTTAAATAACGAGTAACGTGCAGGTAACCTCGAATCATTAAAAGAAGAGACTCATCTTCTTCCTGTCTACGTGCAGACAAATGCAGCAGTAACTCTTGTTCATCCAATAAAAATCGCAGTGATGAATAAGTACGCGAGGAATTTAATAAAATTAGCTTTTCAACAAGTTCTATTGCTAATTTTCTTTTACTTTTGCGCGGGGCCATATTAATAATATTACAGACACGGTTATCGCAAAAAGTCCAAACTGTGCAGAATGCACACTGGATTTTCTCTGGAAAATATGCATGCAAAAGATACAAGTGCACTGCACTTCTCTTCGCGCCAAAACATATGGCGGTGTTTTGATGTAGCGTTCATTGCTGTCTTCCTGCCAGTTCATCTGTTATCACGCTAATGGCTGTTTTTTTATGCGTCACTTGCTTTCGATGGACTTCGATCTTTACAACTGAATCGGTAACAACTGGGAAGGTGTCTTGATGTAATGGACTATTGGCCTTGTTGTGTTTTCTCCCGCAATCACGCGGTATTTGCTCCACTTTATTTGTACAATAAAGGCATCTGTGAGCTCTCTGTGCTTGCCTGTCACAGTAGATACATCATCTTGGCCTACGCGGCCTGTCTCCGGCACGGGCTGATCCCCAATCTTTTATCGGAGGGCACCGGCGCCCGCTACAACGCCCGCGATGCCGTCTGGTGGTGGCTGTATTCCATCCAGCAGTACGTGCGGTTGGCGCCCAACGGCGAGGCCATCCTCAAGGATGTCGTCTCGCGGATGTATCCGCAGGGCGACAGCCCACTCACCCTGGACAGGCGGTAGCAGCATTGGCGTCCCGCGGCGCGCTCTGCAATTTGTCACGTCCAGATTGCAGCTTATGACGTCACTAATATAACGTAAAATATCACTGCGTTTATCGAAACTAATTGCTTTAGTGTACACACTAATTAGTTACACTAATTAATTAATTAATTAAGGATTTAGTCCAGTTTACAAGTACCTACCAGAAATGAACTTCTTATAGCTAGTTTTGCTCAGAAAAAAATTCTGAGTTTAGTATTATTTGAACCATGTGAATTCGGAGTCACGTGACCAAGTTATGAATTTTTAAGTTACTTTGTTGAACTTCAGCAGTATTACTTTATTTGCTAATAGCGTCAAAAATGTGTGGTACATGACTATTTAACCCCATAAATACAAATGTAAAAATTTCATTACAATTATCACATCTAGACACCAGTTTGTATTATAAATTGCATAGATTAGGGAATTGTCGTGATGTACACGTACATACTAAAGTAGCTTGCGTGCACGCAATAAGCCTCAGTACTGGAAACAACTGTCACATTTATAGCACAATAAAAGTACAATTATGAAAGTGAACAGTTCATAGTACAGCCATACCTGTATGGCTATAAATAAGTAAGTATAATCCTCAAATTGTAGAAATTATAATGAAGTTTTTAACTGAATGGAATTCAACGCGCCAGTAGCGTAATTAGGTTCTCCACCATGCCACAAATAATGTAAACACAAGATCATGCCGAACAGCAATAAACAGTACGCTGTGCTTCATGTGCTTTACGTATGCTTAAATGAACAACATTTTTTATAGAAGTTAATGTAATTAGACTGCTTTGCAGCTATGCATATGTATTGTGCATGAGTACCATAGTGCTAAATAGTTTTACCAATCGAGCCGCTGGGGCTACATGGCATTATTGACGAAGTGATCGCTCTAATGTTTGAGGGTTTTTCTCCACGTCGCGAAAGAATGTAAACAACTTGATGTGAAAAAGTGGGCTCATATTAACATGATTTTAATACGATGAGTTATGTATACAGTAATGTACACCATGAACAGTATTTTGCACAAGCAGTATATAATTGTCAGCTTAACATCTACTACACTGCAACTCACAAGCAGTAATTTAATAAGAATATATTCCTTAAATACGTGAAACATACTATTCTATATAGAAAAATTGGTTATACAAAGTACTATTTTTCAAAACGTGGTAAGTACTCGCATTATTATTCTTTTAATGATTAGGTAGACAGTATTGCAAAGCGTTCCGTGACGTGTACACGCGCACATAATACATTCCGCCCATCGATGATTCTAAGATTCGGATCTTTGCTCAATCATGAGTGCTATCCTGCTTTCACCGCAGCTACGTTAGCGACTGGGAAAATTTTGTTTTCTCGTTTTGTATCCAAATAGCGCGCTGAATGATTTTTTTTACTTTTATGTGGATTTGAAGTGAAGCATGATGAAGTAATAATTTTGTGAGCTTGTAAAACCAAAACCGAAAATTATGCTGGAGCAAAATGTGTGCACTATACAACCGGTCACAATGAATAAGGCATTGATCTGCCAAACGGATATGATGAGCGCGTATACGTGTAACAGAATGCTTTGTAATAGTAAGTTTACATAATTATTAATACAAAAGAATGATAATACTTACTGTTGAAAAAAAAGTGACTTGCATAGCCGATTTTTTGTTAGAATAGTATGCTCAAGTATTTTCAGAAATGCAATGTTATTAGATTACTGCTTTTCAGTTACAAACGAAATGTCAGAATATGAGTTGCGTAAAGGTACAGGTAGATTGCAATGAGCGCGGTGTTGGCGCTTGTCGTCATAACCACTGCACTATGTACGAGTATAATCGTTGTCAAAATGTCAGATTTACTAATGGAGAAAGCTGCACACCCTGTTTTATCACCAAAGTCTCCACACACCACCTTTCACCTCCACCAGGCTCCGCATACAACTGTTCGCACCACGTTTTGTCTCCGGCCAGCATTTTGCGCCACCACTATATATTTCAAAAAAAATCTCGGCAGTTTCTGGACACCGTATTACACTTGTAGTTGCAAAGATATACGGTGGTCGGTCATTACATACGATTTATAATGGCTATCTTGTAAGTTTTGAGTGAGTACAGGAAGTAGCACTTCACTTAAAATACGTTGTATCTATGTTACAATTTTTGGTTTTTGTCAATATAGCGCAAGGGTAAAACCGAAAAAATCGCTGCCTGTAACGGAAGCGCAGGTTAACGAGTGATATCAAAAAAAGAGGAGCCAGACCGCGAGACGAAAGAGCCGTCTTTTTTCCGCCTGTGATAACAATTAATGGAATCTTTCAAAATAATGGTGTGTAGAGGCTATGGTGGTGTGCATTTTTCTCTTGGTAGTGTTAGGAGATGTAGGTGATCTTTTTAAAAAAAATCAAAAATGATAAAAATTGGTATGCGGAGACTTTGGTGGTTAACCATGGTGTGCGGAGCCTTCTCGTTTGTTAATTCCAGTACTACAAATAAATTACAAAATTATGAATCAACAAAATAATGATTAAATGAATATAACTGCAATATTTAGCATGCGCTAGCTTTGTCCAGTGTTAGAAACGCTAAGATAGTGTGGCGTGCACGCCATCCTAATGAACTCAGTGTAATTTTAATTTGTAACGCTTACTGTTTCGTTAGGCAAACCGTTTCAATCTGGCTTGTCCTTTTTTCAGTTTTTGCCTAAACAAAAAATCAGTTCCGGCAAGGCAACCAAAAATGCCCTTGCAAATTTAACCGCCAAATCAATGTTTCAGTCAGTACTAATTTCACAGTACGTGTTGCCATACAAATGTTAAACGCCTGTCATGCAAAATAGACGTTAATATTTTGTACATAGTGCATGGTGCACTTGAAGCGCATGCGATCACAGTTGACTGAACGATTGTACACAAAGACTAACTAATACCTGAGTTTGTCAATAATTAAAAAATTATTAAAATTACAAACAGCTAGCTACTCTAACTGTGGAAAAAACAGAAAAATGAAAGCGTGAATACATTTTTCTTTGCCGGACCAAGTATTGAGATCAATTTATTATTGGTGCTAGCTTTCATTTCTGTTCCACAAGACGAACGCTAACGAATGTTGACTACTACAGCAAACCGTTTTTTGCGAGTGTTGTTGGCAACAAGCATATGTTTTTTGCAAGCTGAGACGTTCACAGATTTCTTTGCGAGAACGTACGCATTTTGAACTTAACTTTATAGATACCATCAATAGGTAAAAAACAAGACTTTTCTTTAAATTAAGATTGTAAGACTAAACAACTTTTACATAAACTTTCGAAAGTTGCCAAAATTAGGGATTACACACATCATGCATAAAAAAAACGGGTAGTCGCGTGTTCAAAACATCTCGAGTATAACGCCAACACATTAGCATTTTCCGTACGATGAAGAGTGCTTTACCGTCGTGCTTTACTGCTAAGGCGACACGAATCACTTCGGAAATTCTATACTGTATGGTGAAGTGTCTGCTCTGGTATAATATTTTAGCAGTATGTTTTTGAGCCTTTGTTAGCAGATAAGTTGGTGCAGTAAAAGATCATTGGTAGTTCACAGTTAAATGAAAGTCATTAAAAACAAATTTCACAAATTCGACAATAAGAAAACATTTTAACATCGCAAGAAAGGGCAGTCTTGCAGCAAAAGCCGAAATGCAAAAGGCTTAGCTGGCACACGATTATACTTCGAAGATTGCTAAAAATTCTGTTATTAGCATATTATAATCAAGATTTTAGTGCACTATTCAGACATTGTTTAGTAACATTTGACAATAAACTGCTACCTTTGCGTAAATCACAAATCTGACGGTCGACTCCACTGTAGAAATTGTCAAAAATTCAACACAAATTGTAAATTTCTTAATTTTTTGTAAAATTCGTTAAAATTTGTTTGAAATACTTTTTCCATCCTTTTTATGAAGTGAAACTTTGGAAAACACCAGCCAGGTGTATGGTTAATGGTGATGTGACTCGCTAAAATTTGCTGCATGAAAATTCAGTACTTTTCGGCACGTTTGCGTCGAACGCATCAGGTTGTAATTAAGAGCCTAAACGGCCTACTGCCTCAACCGCTTCGAATGTTTTAAAACGGATTGCACCTTCTCTTGTTAGTTTTTTATACTCTCCATGCTCGTTACCGATTTGTTAAAAAATTTTGATTTTGTGTACGTCAAATTATGAATATGAGCGAGGCTTAGACAAGTCGTAGCAGCAGTCGGAGTAAGTGCAACTGCAGGGCGCAGACAGACTGTCGCAAACGCACTGCTTGCCTGGCATCTATGTAATCATGCCAGATTCAAGCCACACTTCTACTACTTTACTCGACTTAGATGTTTTTTTGAATCCTGAAAAATAAGTCGCAGATTCACAATCAGCGTAAAATTTTACTATGGCTTTACTATATGTTTACCATGCAGTATGCACGTAATCAAAGGTTTGAAAAATGAAAAAATACATAAATTCACGAAAGCTGACAATTCAAGAAAACTACAAAATCCGTAGTACCACATATTTATCACTACCAGCACCGCTACCACAACAAGAACCATAACTATTATCAATTTATGGAACCAATCCCCGCTTTGCAGCTGTCAGTCATGATTATTTCTCTTATTATGCCCTTTTATTCTGTGCTGTTGTTGTATTGGTAGAAAGCTAGAAACATTAGTATTTCACTTTCGAACTGATGCAAGCGCAAAAGCTTTTTCCAGTCAAACTATATTGTTTTCATTGCTGTTCATAGACGATAGCAGAACAATCCATCATGAAAGTTTAATTTTGCACAGTAAGGACTTCGATATAAAACTTTCAGACCAGTGCTACTACGCCAACCGACTGCCTGCTAAAAAGATTTGTAACATTAACAGAACAAATGCCAATTTCGAACCATATGCTGCGTGCTCCTTGAATTAGAATCGAATCTTTCAATTAACCGACTACATTAACCGTACGTTAT